ACACTACTCGCGTGTTTCGACTTGTTTGTGTTATATGATAAAAAGAATAATGCGCTCGCTATGTGACACTCATAGGATTTTCCCGTATCATTTCTTCTGATTATTGAAACGCATTATGAAATATTTTGAAAGTATTATATTTCAAAAATCGCAACTTTGTACGTATTTTACTTATATTGATTTTTACTATATATTTATAATTTTGATAATCAAGACCATCTTTATAATGGAGAGCAACTGGAATCTGAAAATGAACATCTACCTAAATTAAGTGAATGGATGGACCACCTGAGGCTCCATTTGAATTTATTGGAAGTTCTTTAATAAATGACCAAATTTTATAATTTACAACGTCTAAACTACCTTTAATTCTTTCATGATGAATTGATTGGAAAATTTGTAGACGAAACAAATTTGGTTTAGATACATCACAACAGAACAACACCGTAAACATCTTTGTATGCGGAATCAATGGTGTCGACGTTTATCTGAGAACCGATTTTGTTTTGTAATCGTAATAACTATGCGTATTACACACAAGTCAGAAGAGAAAAGGTATTAGTAAAATACACATTTCCACTCCATTCTTTGAGAAAACAATGTCATATATTATTATGTTATAATTTTTGTTATTATTGTTACTTTTTTTTATTTTTTTCGTTTTTGACTTTTGTACATTTCATGCTTAACATTGTATGTTTCATGATCGCACAATAAATACTATTACTACTACATACAGAAGATAAGTGCCTATAAAAATATTTACATTTTACGAATATCAGAGACCTAATCCAGTAACACATGCAAAACTAAATAAGATCTGGCCAGTTTATAACAGCCTCAATAAAAAATGTGCAATGCCGTTGGTGGTACAGGAAAATTCCGTAACTCCATTATTTTCTTAAAATGTATGTTAAATAAGGTAATTATAAAAAGCTATGTCTGCAACAATTCTCATTTCCCTGCAAAAATTCTATCGCTCGCTACTTATTTCACTTTGCGAATTCCTTGTATCACCCAGCTGCCCGAAAGTATTTTGGAACAAAGCGTAACTAATTACGAATAAATTATTGTTTCTCTTATATTGTACATATGTGTAGAGCGTAGAGACGTCATTTATTGTTGCTAATTTTGGTTTAGTTTGCGCATGACCGATCCGTTGTTGAAACGGACTATTATTGATTATTGGTTTGATCATTATTTGATTTTTAGTACGTTCCGAACTTTATACCACAACAGACGTAATAATGGCGTCGTTGTCAAAGAAGTGTAAAATTGCATTAGTGTATGGTGCAATGATCTTATTTGATGAAAAAAAGGCATAACGTATATGGATGATGAAATGGTGTAAGAAAAGGAAAAGGCATAGACATATTAATTTACTAAACTGCATACAAAGTTGTGGGCCAACGGATTATGTAAAATAATTGAGAATGGACTATGATACATTTCAAGAATTTTTAAAACTTGGTTAAGCTATAAAGGCTACAATGACATTTCTAACATGTGGAGGCACTTTTGAGGATTTAAAATACTCTTGTGTTATTGTCATTTTCATGGAGAACTTTTATACCAGCATACAAAAACTGATGTTTCTTTTTCGTCCATGATAATGTGGGCATCATGGCTAATCGTTTCAGGATTTTACTAAATCCGATTGGAACCAATTTACACGTGCCTTACATAACTTTTTACGCAAAAGAAGTGAATGAATTATATGTCAAATCAGATGAGAACTTCAGATGTTCTCGTGGAAGATAACTTGGAATATTTACTGCCACTAGAGGTTACACAGTATATTATATCAACTGAAGCAAAACAAATTTGCGATTTATTTAAAGAATATTACAATAACGCAGGAACAGTTGATTTTCAGTTTCGTTTTGTTCATTAAATGATATTAGTTGATGGTAACTTTACACTTTTTTACACTAACAACATTGACAGGTTCGGATACAAATTTCATATCACAATTCTTTTTCATTTATGTTAAGACCAAGTAATATTGTAACTAGCTGTTACAGTACTCTAGATGTTTGTGAAACTGCAGAGGCAGTGATCAGAAATTAGAACTGCGTTGCGAATAAAATTTAAGTACATGTGATGTCAAAGCCACATAGAGAAAAAGGAAGAAGCTTGTAAAAGCAGAGGACAAAGACAATTCAGATTAAAAACCTTCAGATCAGATTTGCAAGCAGTATTACTGGCACTAAAAAATGATGTATTACAAAACAAAACTAGCAGTTTACAACATGACATTCTTTGATTTGCAGATAATTGCTCATGTTCTGATGAGAATTAAAGCAAACATTCCACAACAAAAAGCTGTACCGGCTACACTTTCATCTGTATGCATACTCGTAAATCTGTGTCACCGATCATATAACGATTAACGAGTCTAATGCTATATAAAGATTTATTAAGTTGGAAACAATACATCCCATGAAGCACGCAAGATTTGTTACAAAAAGGTATTTTATCTAATTTATACCCGCATATGAACAATTATTGCCATTGAGTTTCCAAATTTACCCTTTTCTTTAAAAGTTGTAATTAGTTTGATGAAAGCTTTGCTAAATATGGATACTGGCTAAGTATTGACAATTTTTACAGTTCTTTTGAATTGACTGATTTAATTACATCGTTTTATACTGACGATTACAGGACTAAGTAAAAAGCCATGGTGATAAGATTTAAAGACAAGTGCGATACGTATTCTTTTTAACTATTTATAGTATAAATATAGGACAATTTGCAAATGATAAGATAACGAAACTAAAAGTGGCCATTGATGATAACTTTACAATGATCGACCACTTCCTGGAAAACGGGGAAAAAATGCTATATATTTTTTATCAGTCACTTTGCATTTATTGTTTTGTATACAAAAACTGGAGCTTCTATGATACATCTAGTGTTTAGGATAAAGCTCATAGAAAAACACGTGATTACTCCACCATCAAAAAAAAAACTGATGTTTTAAATGTACTAATAGAGATAAAAGAAAAGGTGTAAGAAACAGTTATAAAGACTAGTGAACTAAAAAATGAACTTTTTTGATCCTAATTTAACTAATGAAGCAACTCTAAAAAGAGGATACTTTAATTAACAATTGGCGATATTTCCACAAGGATCCTTCAAGAAATTAATTTTATAGCGAATTTTGAAAATTATCGATGAAAATAGCAACATCGAAAATTTTATCAAAACATTAAAATTGTTTTCTCAAAAACTAAAAGTTATTTTTCGAAACGGGTTGGTTCATTGGAAAGAGGATACTTTTATTAACATTTTGGGAAACTTTCATACTGATATTCCAAGAAATTGATTTTATACGAATTATTAATAATTTTTTATCGGCGAAAATTGCAAAATTCGAAAAAATTGTCGATCATTTCAAAAATTTTTTTCTCAACAACTGAAGGTGATTTTTCAAAACGGCTTTATGCATTAAAAAAAACTTAAGAAGAGGATACTTTAATTAATAATCGACAGTGATAACAGCGGCAGTTCTGTTAGTAATGAATGTGATAATGAATTACAAGCGAAGAGAAGGAAATTAGACTAAACTGCAACAAGAGATTTTATATATCGTATTGGGATTGTTACAATGAGGTTGGTAATGACAAACCTGAAATAAATAAAGTTGTATTCAATCAAAAAACTCCTATTGGGGTTGAACTTGATTATTATCTGCAGTGGCCACCACCTAAGTAAGATACTAATTTCTGTAAATGGTAGAGTACCAAGTAATAGGTTTTTAATATCCGACCAAAGCCGGATAGTTGCCGGATATCCGTTCCACCACTAATAAAGACTAAAAAGTTTTTTATGTTTTTTTTTTTACCGTGGTTCCAGCTTTAAAAACCCTCCTTTGAAAGAAAACTATAAAGCCGAATTTAACTTTGGACCAGAGGAAACTAATTTGGTGGCATAATGGCCAGGAATTAGGACCACCCCATCCAATCGATCCGGTGCATAATTCCGATATAAAAGTTCATGAACAATTTGAGACTATTTTCTGGAACACTCATTATTTTGTAGTTACATAGTCTGACTTTGTTGGAAAGACGTCTTCCAGTTATGTTGATAAGCTGTCATTTGAAAATTGTTCTCAAGGAAATGTTCCATTAATAAAGTATGGATCGACCAATTCATCTCTGATTATACCACGCCAAATAGTAACAGATCAAAGTCTTTGATATTCTAGAGTCTAGAGGTTTTCAATGATCCAGGTGCATATTCACTTGATCATGATTCATGAAAGTAGACTCATTAAGAATAAAATGCGTTATGAAACACCACCTGTGCTGATTTCTCAGAATTGAAACAAGGATGTCATACCACCACTAGCCGCATTAGAGTGGGTATTAAATAAGAATTCATATTTGGTTATGTCAGTTAGTATGTATAATTAAAAAAAAAGTTTTCAAAGATTATGTAAGCTATGAATCCTGTTTGTGCAGCTCCTGAGAATATTTGGCCTGACTCGTTTAGTGCATCTGCGAAAATTTTCGAAAAAACTGGAATAACTGAGAAATGCATGGTGCAATCTAGACACATAACTTATATCAAATTATTTTAAAATTTAGACTCAACTCGTCGTGACAGACCCTCTACTTCAACGAATTCTTCTTATTTATGACTTAGTTGTTTCTTATCAAACTTATATCACGTAATTATTACAAATCTCAAAATTTTTAAAAATTGATTACAAGTTTGGTATTATTGTTTAAAATAAATTCGTATATTCAGATTTTGCAATCAAAAATATAGTGCCATTGAAAAAATTGATCACGACATTCACACGACCTTACAAATAAGGCCAAAAACATTTACAAAATAAACCCATAAAACAGAAATAATAAAGAAAAACCCAACAATAAACCTGAATTATAATTCTTATTTTCGTTTCGCTAATATTGCTTTTCTTTTACTATTGACCTTAACCTTTACAATGTGACATGAAAAATACTTAATTACAAATTAATTTTACTTACTCCTTTAAACGCTTTTTGTACGTTAAAGTTTAGTCGATGCAAAAATCTCAATAGGAAGGCATCATCCGTGCGTAGAAGTCGATAATTTTCGTCAGCTGGTAACAAAAACAAATATTATAATTACGTTTCTTTGTCTTTTAGTGATTCTTACCTAAAATGAGCTGTCTTAATTCTTCGATTCTTTGTTTTATATCATCGGAATTGAGCTCTTTTCCTTCGAAATCGATGATTTTCTTTTTCTCCATTTCACTCGAACTCGTCATTCTAAAACTTTATTTCGATTTAAACTATTTATCAAAACCCATATAGCATAAAACCAGATATTTATCATCAACGGGTTGGCCTTCGAACCGTGACTGTGCATCTTCTCTCTTATTTCATTTTAGATAATTATTGAAAAGATTGCATATTTTTTTTATTTATTTTTGTATTAAAGTGGGTTATCTAAGCTATTATATTTATATAAAAAATAGATAATAAATTGTTCTGATTGTTTATCGGGTTTAAATAATTCAAGGTTGTTTTTGTTTAAGACAAGGTTATTCAAATAAAACAATAGCTAATTAAAACTAATTAAAATATCAATTTATTTTTGGAAAATTTTATACATTTGTATATTTTTATTAATTTGATTGCTATGAGACATAAAATCTTTATTCAATTTCTCGTAATTAATAGCATAAGTTCCACCGAATTCTTTAGGTAAACACTCTGGGCTGATGTGTTTATGTAAAGAATCAAAATCATTGTAATGAAAAACGATCTTTTCTTTAATTTTTTGAGGTAAAAACGGCATCGTTACTTTTAAAATAGCGCTCATTAACGACGTTGTTCGAACAACGTGGAATTCAATATCTTTAACAACAATGTTATCCAATCTTTTAGCGAACTTTTTTACATTTCCTGGTGTCAACCAACTCAATAATCTCCAAGAGGTTCCGTGTACATCCATTATCATCGAAACACCATTCGCCAAAACAGCTGTGTCATCAACAAGATATTCTAATAAAGTATTTTCAAATTTCACTAATTCGGTTAAAGTTAATTTTGATGGATTAATTGTATCAGCTTTACATAAAAGCAACCGTTTTCCTTTTCTATCGGTAAATGGTAAAGCGTGTCTCATATTCATGTCAATATATTTCTTTAATTCTTCAACTGGGTTTGATGGCAACCAATCCCATTCTTCTATAAAATATTTATAGAGAGCTTTGGCACTTTTAAATGCTTCTTCAACATTAAAGTTGGATGGAAAAAGAAATCTTAAGAGGTATTTATCATCTGAGCGAAGGTTGTGTAATTCTTCATCATCTAGAATTAATTTTTGAATGAAATAATTTGTTGTTTATTAAATTTGATAACTTACTTTGAAATAATTTTCTTAATTCTTCGATTCTTTTTTGAATATCATCCTTAGTTAATTCATTCCCTTGATAATCGATGATTTTTATATCAAGATCCATGGTGTAAAGTGATGTGATTTACACTGGCGTAGAGACAACAAAATAATGTGTTTATATTAGTCACAGAAAACGATAAGCACTCCGATTCAAGTGAGAATGTAAGTGGCAAAAATTTTCGACGACTTTTATCTCTTTGTTGACATAAAATTCTCTCTACATCGGATAACATTTTAAAAGTTATCGATCACACATTCATTTTTGATATTGAATAGTTTTCGTTTTAATTAATTTGTTTTTCGGTTCTTTTTACGCACAAAACCTTAAATATTCCGGTTTGATGTGAGGACATACGAAGGTGAATTCTGTTTTAAGAAAAATACTATGTGATGTTGGCTGTTTTGCGTCAATCTATGTTGTAAAAAAATTAATTAAAATAATATTTGTTTAGTCACGCTACACATATAATTAATAATAATTACAAATAGTCGGTTTTAAATTAAAACGTTATCTTCATAATTTGTTTATATTTTATACATAAATAAATTAAAGATGAATTATTTAATTTAAGAAATAATTGCGAATGTGTAAAGTAATAAATTGAAATTATTGCTTAATTAGATAGTAATCAACTGATTATTTATCTAAACTACCAGGTTTTCATAACGTGATCCGATTTCATCTCGAATTGGCAACTTAAAATCATTACTATTTTCAAATTTTCTTCTTTATATGTATCTGCAATACGACGAAGAAATCTTTCTTAAATAGTACATTTGTGACTAGTGATGTAAAGAGTAGTTGGCGGCTGTTATCCGAGTTGCAGATTGTCAACAGGTCCAAACCCACTGTTCCCGCACATTTAGATGATGTTGGAAATATTAATGATTATTTTGTGAATTCTGTTGGTTATGCTGATGTGGATGATGATTTGCTCACTTTTTATGGTACAAATATGCTTTACCCCAATTCCCATGAGAGATTTTCGTTTGGACTTAGTGACACCCCTTCGATCATTAAAATTTTAAATGGCATTAAATCAACATCTTCTGGTATAGACGAATTGAACATCACATTTATAAGAATGTGTCTCCCTGAAATACTGCCCTACATTGTACATATTATAAATACCTGTCTTGAACAGTCTATTTTCCCGGAAGCTTGGAAGATTGCTTTGGTAATGCCGTTGCCTAAAAAACCAAATCCAGCAGGTCTGGCGGACCTGCGTCCAATTAGTATCCTGCCAGTTATCTCAAAAGTCCTTGAAAGGTGCATGGAGGTCCAATTGCGTAAATATATTAGTGAGCATAACATCTTGCCCACCTCTCAGTCTGGTTTTTGACCTAACCATAGCTGTACAACGGCTCTATTAAAGGTAACAGACGATATTATTAGAGCTCGTGATGGAGGTCTATGTGGGATACTTGTACTTCTGGACTACAGTAAGGCCTTTGATAAGGTTAACCATTCAATGCTTTTAGCTCTTCTGCGCTATGTTGGTCTGTCCGACTCAGCGGTTTTGCTTTTGGAAAGTTTCCTATCCAATCGTGCTCAGATAGTAAAATTGAACAATGTATCCTCATCATCACTGCCTATGAGAGTGGGAGTGCCACAGGGGTCTATTCTGGCTCCTTTATTGTTTTCCGTGTATACATCCCAGTTGCCTAAGTGCATTCAATATTTGTCGATACACATGTACGCAGATGACACCCAAATTTACATAACCTTTCCAAAGGAACACCTCGCTTCTGCTTGCTCAAAAATAAATGCAGATCTGAACGGTATTTTAGATTGCTCGCACAAGATGGCACTAACTCTCAATGCCACTAAATCTAAGGTAGTCATCTTTGGTAACTTGGACTCTGATAGTGTCGGTATATTTTTGGGTGGAGAGAGGCTGGTAGTGTACCCTGAGTCAAAAAATCTGGGTGTGCTTGTCGACAGCAATCTGCGATTCAGCAGTCATGTCACTGCTTGCGTGAAAAAGGCATATGGTGTTCTTAGATGCCTCTATCAACACCGACACATTTTAAATATAATTACAAAGAAACGTTTGTGCGAAACACTTGTTCTGTCAAATTTTGTGCATTGTGCTGCCATGTATGGTCCATGTTTAACTGGGTATGAACTTCATCGTATTCAAAGGGTTCAAAATAGCTGTCTTCGTTTTATGTATGGCGTTCGCAAGCGTGAAAATTGGTTACTGCAAAATGGTTAAATATCAGAAACAAATTCAAACATCAGTTCTTGTGTCTTGTGCACAGGTTAATTACTACGGGGACTCCACCTTACTTATATAATAAAATCACTTATAGGACCGATGTTCATAACTTGAATCGTAGACACAAAAATACTATCGCCGTTCCTGCTCACAGGAAAGCTCTTTTTAGGCGCTCTTTTTCATATAATGTGGCCAAGGAGTATAATTCCTGTCCTCCTGAATTTAAAAATAAAAGTCTATTCGTTTTTAAAGTTAACTTGCGTAACACCTTGTTTCGGCTTTAGATGGGTCAACATAATCCTTATGCTGCCTCAGTGCTCTGACATTGGGTTGTTATCTATTTATTGGTTATATAGGGAATCATTTGAATTGATTAATTTAATTGCGGAAAACAATTGAATATGTAATTATTAGTCGTTCTCAACTCTAGGTTGAGTTGAACAGATCACTTCCATCGCGATGGATGCCAATCTGGACTCCGCCTATTGGCCGCAGATTGTAATTAGTTTCACATATAGAATACATTTTTCATTTCTTTTTTTTTCTTTTATATTATTGTTTAACTTTTTTATGTTGGTTGTTGCGGTCAATAAAGTACTATTATTATTATTATATTATAATATGTCACAAATGATTACTGGTAATTATCAGTAAAGGAACATGTTGAAGCACTTACGCCAGGAGGTTACAAGAGGTTATTTTATTAAAAACTACGATTTCACGGCTAGTGCTATAACTAATTAAATTTGGAAACTTCCGGATTATGATTTGCGTCTATTAAGTCATTATTTACGTTTTGGATGACATGTTGCAATCTTTTTCAAGCATGAGTGCAAAACTAGTTGTGGTGAAAGAGCTTCGCATTGCTGTTCGAACGTCTGCAATCATTTGCTTTAGGATTTAATTTTTCTTCGCATCGTTCTTGCTAAAAACTTCTGCACCATTTTGACCCTAGAAAAACGACAGAAAGGTGCATCCATAAGCATTCTCTAAAGGCACTTCAGGCCTACACGAGTGAGTCAGTGCTGATCAGAGAGTGTACCAACAACCTGAGTGAACTCGCTTGGGGCAATGATGTTACTTTATGGTGTTTTCCAGGTCACAAAAACATGGGGGTAATGAAAAGGCGGATAAGCTGGCCAAAGAGGCAGCGAAAACGCCCTTTATTGCACCCCAACCCGGCTGTGGACTACAAAAAAGCCACTTAAAGCAAGCAATCATTGGTTGGGAGGCCTCAAAGGTAGCCTTACGCTGGATTGAACTACCAGGTCACATACAGGCGAAGACTATTTCTACTTCATAACCGACCATGCGCCCCTAAAATACCACGTCTTCTATATTGGAGAAACTGAGGATCAAACTTGTCGACTTTGCAACGGCAAGCCGGAGTCTATTGAACATACACCGTGAACGCGTCACCAGAGGCCGCCTAAGACACAAAGTTCGGCTAATACCTACTGACCTAAAGGAACAAGACCTTGGAGCAACATTAAGGTTCATCAAGGACCTACATTTGCCCTAAACCTTTTAGAGCTTAAGTTACAATAGTTCTTATAGATCGCGGTGACGAGAACGGCGGCTCTCGGCTAAAACAGTAGACGAATGGGATAATATAACTTGGCACCATAACAAGCAAATTTCTTAAACTTTACACACTCATAAGACATACTTTCCGCGTAGCATTGTGATGAGGAATAGTGGTGATAAAATAAATTATTCCTGCATAGCATAACATCTTTCCCGTCGATCGTAAATTAGTTATATTTGTGAGAATTCTCAATTTTAGTTCTTTAATCGTTATTTTGTTTGCCTCTCAACCCATCAGTCTAACATGTAGTAGGACAGTATTCCGAAAGGCTGATGTTGAACAAGGACGGGGACAGGTGGATGGATGAGTATAGAAGGAACAGGAATCAATGGGGGATGAATGAATGGGTTCAGATCTAGTATAATGAAGATGATAAATAAGACGTGGAAAAGATTTAAGGGAGAATGCTTTGTTTAAAAGTAGGCTCCATTTGGAGCTGTGGAAGTCTGAAGAAAAGTCTGTTAGTGAGGATGGTATGGATGCTGAAGCCGAGTCAAATTGTCTGACTTCAGTAGCTGGCAATGTGTTGGATAAGGCGATAGCTGCTGAGTAGGATTAAGAGAGGTAGAGGAATGATTCAAGAATTAAAAATTGTGTAAAAATGTAAGGAGAACAGGTGACTGGCTGTACAATGGAGAGAAACGTTATACAGGTGTCTCCAAAATACGTGTACAACGGATGATCACAGATTCCTTTGCTCAAAACAAACTACGTGCCAACTACTATAAGGTTTTGTAATTGTAATGACGTAAACAAGGCTTGCAGATACTTTAAATACATTTTTTCTGGCTTAGCCACTTACGTAATCAAAATATTATAAGAGACAAAAAAGTTTCAGAACTAAATATTACTATTCCATCATTTCTGTGTTTCTAAAATTGTATCGGAAAGCATAAAAAAATTTAATTGAACCTAGGAACACACTTCTGAAAAATGGTTTAAATTGATTTACGTTTTTTCGAATAAAAAATAAAAGAATTTAATTTCCTAACTTTGAAGTCCTTTAGTGTCAAAACAAAGCAAATTTGGATATAGATAACTTAAATCGACCTATTTTTAGCCAAGAAATCTATGTACACGCATTTCGGAGACAGCCTGTATATGCTGTCAAAAACTAATTTCCTCAAACATGTATCTCAAACCAAAATTAAACATTGCATAACTTAATACCAACAGCAATCTTCAACGCCCCTAAAATCCGCGATTTCCCACAAAAATACACTATAGATGTTGTAATACAAAACCACCATCCCTTCAGTTATAATCATAATCACAATCTTTATTGTACTATAAGATAGTTCTCTTACTCTCGTCAGTACAATTTACAGATTCACATTTATTTACTAACATAAGAAATATCAATATTACATTTTAAAAATTCATCGACGGAATAAAACGCATTCGAAGCCAAGAAATGTGTCAGTTTACGTTTTATGGTAAGAAACGGAAGACCTCTGACATTAATCTACATATATCTAGTATATATATACTAGATATATACATATCTAGTGTTGATCTACACATATCAACATACACATTACAACGATTACGAGTTGCGTATCTGTGAACATCAGCATGATTTCAAAGCTCATCGAAATTGTTCAGAGCATACAATATACAATTTAGTATATAAATAGATGGCAGGCATACATGTGTCCTCACTGTATCCCAGGCCTCCCACAACTTTTAGAGCGCTACGCTGTAAGTTAAAGACCCGTTTGCTAGCGGGAGTGTTTCCCCACGCTAAAATAGCATAAGATATATAGCTTTGTATAAGCGCGAAGTAAGCGGTTTTTACTACTTCTAGTTCCACTTTGACAATAAGATTTTGTAGCAAAAAGATGTTTTTTTTAAATTTTCTTACTTATAGCGTCAACATGATGATCGAACTTCAATATTGGAGTAGTTATGTGAACTCCCAAGAATTTACCAAACGACGGTTTACTAACATTAGTAAAATTAAAATTTCTCTAACTTAATATCATTCTGACTGTTTTCCCATCATTCAAACACAACTCATTCGCGATGCACCATTTACGTGCTCTATCTAGAACCAATTCTGATCTTTGAATGACCTCTTCAGCTTCATTGCTTCGGATAATCAAAGTGGCATCGTCAGCATATAATAAACAGTCAATGTCCCTAAAATAATATGGAAAGTCATTGAAAAATATCAAAAATAAAAGAGGACCAACGATAGAACCCTGTGGAACACCCCTAGTCAAAGTGACTCTTTCCGATGTCACTTGACCACAAGTCACCTGTTGTGTTCTGCCGGACAAATAAGGTTGAATTAGAGCAACACTTTTGTCGTCAAAATTATAAACATTGTGAAGTTTATCAATAAGAATTGGATGAGAAACTGTATCGAATGCACGAGACAAGTCCAAAAACAATGACATAGAGTATTCACGCTTTTTAAAGCTGTCAAGACAGATATTCACATATTTAAGTTCCGCGTTAGAGATACACCTACCCCTTCGAAAGCCAAACTGATGAGGGTGCAATAAATTATTTTGGTCCAAGTATGCGATGATTATATTGAATTATATTGGGCCCTTTCATATATTTTGGAAAAGGTGGGCAGAATACTTATAGGACGAAAATTAGCATTATTGTTCTTATCTCCGCCCGTAAATATTGGAATTACATGAGCTATTTTTAACAAGTCAGGAAATACGCCAGATGAAAAGGAAAGGTTCACCAATCGTGTAAAGGGCGCCACATATAGACCGGTGTTACATCTCACAAAGTTTGCAGAAATGCCATAAATGTCTTTAGAGTTACTAGATTTTAAACTGCAAAGCAGATCACGAACTTCAATCGGCGTAACTTCAGTAGTTATCTGAAAGGATACAATGCAGTAGATTGTATCTCACATGGAATTATGACAAAAATAATGCGGTACTTTCTCTTTTAACTTATCCTGCGAATGATATCACCCAATTATTATTTCACCAATTGGACCATCTTCAAAACCCCCATCAACAAATATGTAACTAAACAAAGTAACCTTAATCGTATAAGACGTCAAAATTTGCAATTTGCAAAATGCTCACGAAATAATAAACCACTCTTCCTAATATAAATAATAAATTCTTTTAAAGAACACGAAATCTACATGCTAAGTTTGAACACATCACACTAAATTCATAAATTCGCACAAAATATGCACACCTCTGAAACATGAGCCACAAGAACAAGTATAACCCTTATTGACCACATCATCTGGACTACCATTAGAAAAGTTAATACCCTCCTTAAAACCCATAATAACTTTTAGAAATTTAAAGAATAGTCACCTATAAAAGTCACCTTTCTTCCTTAACTAATAAAGCTTTGCATTCGCCACTCCAATATAGAGCAAGACAGCTTTATCAAACCTTCAAAAACTACAAATAGCAGAGAACAAGTTCCTCAGAATAATCACAAATTGCCACAAATACATTTGCATGGGAAAACTGCAAGAATCCATCAAAGTGAAACCACTTTAGCTCGTTATAACCAAACTCAACACAAAATATGTGCAGAACATAAAATCGAACTCTATTCTACTTGTCCAGAGTATCTTCAATAAGAACTTTACCCGATCCAATATAAATCTCAATATGACGTTAATCTAACCTCACACTATCCAAAGGAACTACGGATTCCTAACATTGAAGTTGATTCTTTTACCCATCGTGATTAAATGCAATAATTCGAGCATGTTCTTTTCATTTGGAACATGTATGTACAAATGAGTAATCCTGTATGAATACCTAATCCTCACTTAAAGCAGAAATTAAATAAACTGACTCACACCATTGCTAAAGCTTTAGAATCCCATCAAATTGCAAATTATCAGAGTCTTCTAAGCAATATGGATAATAAAGATTCAGGAATGTTTATAACAACAAGAAAAATACTGAGAAGACACATAGAAATTCTTACAATTACCCACGAAGGGAATCAGTTCTCCACTGATGAAGGAAAAACTCAAGCCTTTGCTGATTATTTTGAATTAACATTTACTCGTCATATACCTCAAGAAAACATGTCTTCTTCTGTTACTATTCAAACATATAATGAAACTCATCTTCCGCGAATAGAAAGAGTAGATGAAGAAGTAACAAATGAAGGAATCAGATATTTAATTAACAAAATCTATGCAATAGAAAGGCCCCAGGACATGGCCTTATACCAAATATAATTTTAAAACATTATTAATTCGAATAGTACTAGCCACTTAACTAATATCTTCAATTCATGCTTAAAAATTGATTACTTTCCGGTGACTTGAAAAAAAGCTGAGATACTAATCTTTCCCAAGCCAGGAAAACAGAGCAGTCTTATATCTAATTACCGTCCTATAAGCCTCTTAGCATCTCTCTCAAAATTGTTTGAAAAAGTTATAATGCGAGGACGTCAAGATCAGCTGCTGGAAAGTTTGCTACAGTTTGGTTTTCGAACGGGTCATTCAGCAATTCACCAATTGGTGCGTGTTACAGAATTTATTGAGAAAGGTTTTGAAAATAAGCAATACACCACTGTCGCCTTCTTAGATGTAGCTAAAGCTAGATGACTATATTACCGCAATATTTATGTCATATCTTCAAGAACGAACTTTTTGTGTAAGAATAAATGGGACCTATTCAGATACAAGATGTATTAGAGCAGGACTTTCTCAAGGAGGTATATTGTCACCAACCTTATTTAATATATTTTTGCATGATATACCGTGCCAAAGATGCAATGAAAAAAGCTCTGTTTGCTGACAATATGTTGATTATGACCCAAGGAAGTGATTTGGAGGAAGCTATAGAACAGCTAAAAGATGCTATTAACGACGTGCAGAAATGGCTTACAAAATGGTCCTTACACCTGAATGAAGACAAATGTGAATCTTTACGATACGACGTTACCGAAATCCAACATGCATTGTAATCAATAACACAGAACTTCATTGGAATCCTAAAGACAAAGCTGTCAAATACTATTTCCTCTGATAAATAGAAAAAATCATCTGAAAACTAGAAATGCTTCCGCAACAAATATCCAAAAAATACAATCTCTACAAAAAAAATTCTACGGACGGCAGTAGATGTGCCACGGTTTATTCGCAGTGAACAACTTCACTGAACTAAACATAATGACTATTGAAAGTTTTATAAGAAAAAAAATTATGAAAACATCAATAAGTGTTCCAGTGCTACTAACTTTAATTTGGATTTCAAAAATTTGCATCAGCGACTTAAATGAAAAATGCCTCAAGATTTATTGTAAATTTAGCTTAAATTAGATTCCCTCGGAAAGTTACTTTGTTTCTTTAGTGAATTTAGCCGTTATATTAATGTAAATATGAATAGTTTTATTAATAACTAAAAAAAGGCGGTAAAGTATGTAATGCCGTGACATTTACATTTATCTAAACAAAGATGTTATTTGTGTGGTGCAACATCCACTAGATTAAGCAATATAGATACATACATTCTTAGAGAATAGATATGACCTCAAATTACAGTCAAAAAATTAATGATGGAAACTTTCAAAATGTATTTGAACTTTCCAATATTTCTGCTACCCCTTCCCAACAACTGCCTATTAGATCTCTCTTTGCCAAATATCAAGCAGAACAGCATGTTGTTTTAAAAAGTCTTTAATATTCTTCGATTCCAACAGAGCACCTTTATTGTCTGATAATAATTAACATTTAATGTCGCTTCTAAGGAAATGTATTTCAAAGCCTCTCCACTAGCGATTGCCTCCTCCAGTATATACACTTAAAGCTAAATGGAGCTTGAAACTCATTTGAAAGCATCTGGAAAAACTATTAAATCGCTCATATTAGTTAAATATTGTAAAATGACAAATTCGAAATGAACAGGAAAAACATAAGTATGTAGTAATTTAAAATTTGGGAGGTACAATTTTTAATCACTAACTTTTTCTTTAATTTTACTCTACGATTTGTAACCTGCATAAAATCCTTCTTTAGTTAAGTATTTGTTTTTAAGGGTTGAATCCTATTTTCTCTTATTTCTTATATGTTAAAACACAAAGAATAATTGTTTAAAGATTATTTAAAATCGGTCGAAGTTGCTTGGAATTTAACAAAATCAAAAAGAAATCCATTAAAATCACATAAAATGATAAAATCCATTTAAAATTAAAATCATCTCCTTTTGAGTTCCTTTTAGAGTAACCATAGAAACTTGTATTGATTTTAATTTCACCACGCTGAAGTGAGAAGCATACAAACAGGGTTGAACAGTTACTATTTTTACCGGATTGACTCGAGATCGTGATAAAATGAGATATTTTCCGGACGAATCAAAATAATCAGTGTTTTTTTTCTTTATCGGGGGTGATTAATCAAGATTTTGTTACAAGGTTTTCAACAAGAAAAAAGGAACAAAAAGTTCAATAATAAAACAATCTAATTAAAAGCTTTCTAAGTAAAGCTTTAGTTTAAAATCATAACTTTATAAGGAAATAAAAATGAGTAAGAATTTTACAACAAAAGCTTTAAGATGCCTCTCAGAAAGTTCAACAGAAACGAATTTAGAGGAAGAATGGTTAAAAATAGCCGCCGAAGAATTAGGTGAAAATCCAGAAAAACGTAAACAGGAAATAGCCGCAGTAAAATTAATGATAATGAGTGAGTCAATAAAAAAAATGTCAAGGATTCTTTATAAATCCAATTTATTTTTTAATTATACATTTTTAGATGATCCAAACATTTCCATTCCAAACGAAGATAACTTCCTTTTAAGATTCCTACGCGCTAGAAAATTTGATAGCAAAAAAGCATTCCAAATGATCCAAAGGTACTATTTAATGAAACTAAAATGTCCCGAATTATTTCGATGTCCTCTTCCGTCCGAATGCGAAAACGTATTCGACCTTCAAGCGCAATTTATGTTACCGAATCGTGATCAACTCGGCCGAAGAATTTACATAATACGAGTGGACAATTTCGATGCATCAAAAGCATCCATCGACGAAATTTTCCGCGCCAATGTTTTAGCATTGGAACAAGTCGTCAAAGAGGAACAGACACAAATTTGCGGTATCGTTGTCGTATTGGATATGGCCGGATTAAGTTTGAATCACGCCAAATTTTTTACACCGTATTATGCAAAAAAAACCGTTGAATTAGTTCAAGAAACATTTCCATTACGATTTAAAGGATTTCACATTGTTAATGAACCGTTTTATTTCGACGCTGTCATGGCTGTGATTAAACCGTTTTTAAAAGAAAAAATGAAAAAAAGGGTAATTATTAAAATATAGTAAAAGCTAGAATTAACACTAGTATTAGAACTAATACTAGACCAAGTACTAGAAACATTCGGGTTTAGAAATCTTAAAAGACGTGCAGCTAAACTCGAATATTTCTAGTTCTAGGTCTAGTGTTAGTTATAGTTTTAGTTCAATTAAAAATATCTAGTACTAATACTATTATTAGAACCAACACTAGACCTAGAACTAGAAATATTCGAGTTTAGCTGTATTGAGAGACGTATGGCTAAAGCCGAATGCTTTAGTGGTAAGTCTACTCTTTGTTCTACTTTTTGTTCAATAACAATATACAACAATCTAATGCTGAATAACAATTAAAACTAGAACTAACACTAGGTCTAGAACTAGAAATTGGCAATTGTAGCCTCCAGGTTCATCATGGTGAGTATTAATAGGATAAAAAAGAATAAGTCCACGATGATTATTTATTATTTTTTTCTAATTTCGGTACAACAATGTTTCGCTTTTTCTAAAAGCGTCTTCAGGTACGACTAGAATAATATGGAACATAATTATTACTAGTTGACGGGTTTTTTTGTTGGTGATATAAAATTAAAATTATAAAAAGTTCTTACCGTCAAAAACTAAGAATGATGAACACGTGAAAAAATGATCATGTGGAATAATTTCTCTTACAAAAAACTACGACGGACCGATGATTAAAAATATAATTTTGGATTAAAGAAAAAAGTGAAATTTTTGAAAACGGCGTGGGTTTACCATGTCAGGTTAAAAACTCCAACGTCGGGTGATAGGTTAATAAAGTTTTGAAATGCTGAAGGCAGGCGTAAAAGAAACTGTGAAAGCTGAAGGCGTGTTATAAAAAGGGAATTTATCGTTAAAAATCTAAAAGAAAAGAGTATTAATATTATTGAAAGCGTATTATAACGTTAAGTGTTACCGAAAAACTTGAGTCGTGCGCACATATCGACTGGTTACAACGGACTGAGGTCAGTTAAAAGAGGAAGTAAGTAATATGACAACTTAAGAAAATGAAAAATTTGGTATCAGGATGTGACAAACCAAATGCAAGAGCGGTGAGTTTGAAATTATATGAAAGGTGTAAAATATCTATTATAATTGTTAAAATCAGTAATTTCATTCAAAATATGTTCAGGGTTTTTAATGTGGTATAATTTTATATAGTATTCCTCAAATAGGTCCATTTTTCTGGATTTATTAAGATGTTTTAGAAGTTTAATTTTGGATATATCAGTTTTATGTTTATGTTCTTTTAAATGTTTATAAAAAGTAGAATTTTCTTTATTTAAGTGTTCCTTGAATCTAGTACTGATATTCCTTCCAGTTTGTCCTATATAAAAGGAATCGCAATCGTTACAATTAAGTTTGTAAATCCCACTTTTAAGTTTATCATCGAATATGTGTTTATTATTCGTTAATAATTGGCCCAATTTAGCATTAGCACGGTATACCGGCGTGACATTAAACTTATTGAAAATATCGGAAAATTGTTTTTGGATTAAAGGGTGGAAAGGTATAGAGACAAAAACGCCGGGGTTGGAAAAGTGGGGATATATGAGATTATTAATTCTAGCTTGATGAATGCGGAAAAATAAATTTTGAAGCTCCTGAAGGGAGTAACCATTATCGAAGCCCAGCTTGATGGGCTTCCCACAAAAACTTAATAAAATTGAACTGGCGATCTCCCTGGAGTCACAGCTCCAATTCAAACCTGAAATTCACAAATTTATGCTTAACAATATTAAAAACATCATTAAAGACAACAACACTCACACGGGCTGTGACCGCAGGGAGATCGCTAACATAAAACAGAAGATCATTGATAATGATCTTGTGGTGACACTTGGAGACAAAAACGCCGGTCTAGTTATCCTCAATAAAAATTCTTATCTTCAAAAAACATTCTCTTTCTTTCAACAAAATAATATTACATTAATTAACAAAAACCCAACTCAATCTTACAATAACCTTCTCAAAAAACTTATTAATTCTAGCAAAGATACTCTTGTTAAATTTAACTTTAATACTTACTCACTCATTCAAATGAATCCCCTCCCACCTGTTCTCAAATGTTTAATTAAACTTCACAAAGAAGACCATAGCATTCGACCTATTATTAGTAATGTTAATACTCCTTCAGAGAAGATTGCCAAACAATTTCAAAAATTCCTATACAACAATTTTAATAGTGATATAAAATATAGTGTTAAAAACTCAAAACAATTAATTGATTCTCTTCAAGATATCCAAATCAATAATAACTCCATCCTCATCTCTTTCGATATTAAAAAACTTATATTCTAATATTCCTATAAAAGATTCATTAAAAATAATCGAAGCCCACCTTTGTAATAACATATGCAAATATGACAGTGTTCAATACCAAGACATATATAACTTCATTTCCTTGTTGGAATTGGTATACAATCAGAATTTTTTCATTTTTGATAACAAATTTTACCAGGTGAAGGATGGCCTCCCCATGGGTTCACCCATTTCAGGGATAATTGCTGTTATTTTTGTTAACCACTTCGAAGGGATTCTGTTCTCGGAGAAATATGAATTTTTTACTAAAAATATTATCTTTTATAAAAGATACGTAGATGATATCCTTCTGATATACAACGGTAAAAGATCCCACATTATAGCTCTTAATAACATTTTTAACAATATTAATAATCTTCAATTTACTTACGAAGTAGAAAAATGTTCATCTATTTGCTTCCTTGATCTTACTATAACAAAGTGCATCTCCGAGAACAGAATCCTATTCGACATATATAGAAAACCTACTACTACCAATACCTTAATCAAAAAAAATTCATTTACATCATTTCAACATAAATACGCATCTTTTCGTTTCTTTTTTGATAGAATTTTAAATTACCCACTTTCACGTGCTAGTTTTAACAAGGAGATTAATACTATCATCAAGCTGGGCTTCGATAATGGTTACTCACTTCAGGAGCTTCAAAATTTATTTTTCCGCATTCATCAAGCTAGAATTAATAATCTCATATATCCCCACTTTTCCAACCCCGGCGTTTTTGTCTCTATACCTTTCCACCCTTTAATCCAAAAACAATTTTCCGATATTTTCAATAAGTTTAATGTCACACCGGTATACCGTGCTAATGCTAAATTGGGCCAATTATTAACTAATAATAAACACATATTCGATGATAAACTTAAAAGTGGGATTTACAAACTTAATTGTAACGATTGCGATTCCTTTTATATAGGACAAACTGGAAGGAATATCAGTACTAGATTCAAGGAACACTTAAATAAAGAAAATTCTACTTTTTATAAACATTTAAAAGAACATAAACATAAAACTGATATATCCAAAATTAAACTTCTAAAACATCTTAATAAATCCAGAAAAATGGACCTATTTGAGGAATACTATATAAAATCATACCACATTAAAAACCCTGAACATATTTTGAATGAAATTACTGATTTTAACAATTATAATAGATATTTTACACCTTTCATATAATTTCAAACTCACCGCTCTTGCATTTGGTTTGTCACATCCTGATACCAATTTTTCATTTTCTTAAGTTGTCATATTACTTACTTCCTCTTTTAACTGACCTCAGTCCGTTGTAACCAGTCGATATGTGCACACGACTCAAGTTTTTCGGTAACACTTAACGTTATAATACGCTTTCAATAATATTAATACCCTTTTCTTTTAGATTTTTAACGATAAATTCCCTTTTTATAACACGCCTTCAGCTTTCACAGTTTCTTTTACGCCTGCCTTCAGCATTTCAAAACTTTATTAACCTATCACCCGACATTGGAGTTTTTAACCTGACATGGTAAACCCACGCCGTTTTCAAAAATTTCACTTTTTTCTTTAATCCAAAATTATATTTTTAATCATCGGTCCTTCGTAGTTTTTTGTAAGAGAAATTATTCCACATGATCATTTTTTCACGTGTTCATCATTCTTAGTTTTTGACGGTAAGAACTTTTTATAATTTTAATTTTATATCACCAACAAAAAAACCCGTCAACTAGTAATAATTATCTTCCATATTATTCTAGTCGTACCTGAAGACGCTTTTAGAAAAAGCGAAACATTGTTGTACCGAAATTAGAAAAAAATAATAAATAATCATCGTGGACTTATTCTTTTTTATCCTATTAGAACTAGAAAGTTCCGGGTTTAGCCGTGCGAATGTTTCTAGTTCGAGATCTAGTGTTGGTTCTAGTTTTACTTCAATGAAAAATATACAACAATATAACGCTGAATAACAACTAAAGCTAGAACTAACACTAGTATTAGAACTAACACTAGATCTAGAACTAGAAATATTCGGGTTTAGCCGTCTTAAAAGACGTGCGGCTAAACCCGAATGTTTTGCCGCACGTCTTTTAAGACGGCTAAACCCGAATGTTTCTAGTTCTAGGTATAGTGTTATTTCTAGTTTTACTTCAATAAAAAATAACAACAATCTAACGCTAAATAATAATAACTGCTAGAACTAACACTAGACCTAAACTAGAAAGTTTTAGGTCGAAATGCGTTCTAACGAGGTTATATCGATGTTTTACTGTAATTTTAAGTTTTAATTTTAAATTAAAAAAATTGTTTAAGATATATTTACATGGAAATGATGTTTCTTCACTTCATGGGTTTATGAAACCTGAAATACTTCCTTTGGAATACGGGGGACTTCAAGGACCTTTCGACAATAAACCTTGGTATTTAGAATTATTATCCGACGAGGAACATTACAAGAATTTGGATCAGTTCGGGTATCGCTTCGAGGGTGAGGATTGATAATTTCCGTTTAACTAGAAGAAAAAAATTAAAAAAATAAAATAAATAACTCAGATGCTTTAATACAAAAACTGCTGAAATTAAAAAAAAAAATACAACACGAAATGTGATAGAAAAACATTTTTTGAGCAAATATTTATATTTATTGAGAGAAAATAGTAATACTTAAGCTCGATTTCATAAATTTTGTTTTAAAAGTTCAATGATTTCAAAATCTTATCAAAATCAAATTTGAGCTGTGACATCAAACAAAAAAATAATAATAAAACGGAACCATTATTATGAAATCGAGTCTACAAAAAAATATTTATGGTTAAAAATAGAATAAAAGTCTATAAAAAAAAACAGATTGTAATTTATAAAAACTGTTAATCTTAGAATGAAATTTTAATGTAAAAAGAAAAATTTTTGAGTTAATAAACAAAAAAAATAAAAATTTTGGTTAACTTAATTATTAAATTCCAATCTCGTCTAATTCCAATCCCAAAAAAAAACTCTCTCTCTTCAATATGCGCAGTCGCAACTTTTGGGGATTTAATTTCATCCGAGAAGCTTTCGTTTGGTCGACCATCCCCCCGGTACCCCAGTGAGCTTCCGCACGCGACCGTTTCCACACAAACTTTCCTAAAGGCGCATGCGTTAAAACCTGAAAGTTCGGAGCTTTCGATTGATCCACTAAAAAGACCTGTCGCGAACGTTTCACGTGTTTTCCTAAAAGCTTTCTGTTTTTGTTTTCAATTACATAAATCAATAAAATACTAAAACTGAAAAAGAAAGTGTTATTAAAGAAACATTAATTAAAAGATTTTGTTGTAATTAATGTGAAACTCGAATCAAAATGGGGATTAACAAGGATAACCGAAAAGATTTAGAATGTATGTTGTTTTGCTTTTTTTGTTATCGAAAGAAATCGAATATTTAATTAATGCAATAAGTTAATTGCATCAAAAACTGATTCTTTATTTTTTTTAGTGACCGAATTAAAAATGGTGATTATTTCTATTAAAACAATTAATACATAGAAAAGTTTACGATTACAAAGAACAGTTTTTGATTAAAGAAATCGTCGAAAAAAAGTAACATGGCTGACCAAAAAGATTCATTAATCTTAGATAAGATGCAATCGAGTTGCTTCCTATTAAGTTCATTTAAAGACCCATCTCTGGAAAAGCTTTATCAAAGTTACAGCGTCAAACAGAAACGTTCGGGACTTGAATGTTTTTTGATAATGGCAATTTTCTTCGACATTTACATGCTGGTCGTACCTTACGGTCAAGATATCCTTATTTTTGCCATAATCAGTGCTTTTCTATTACTAAATTGTTCGTTGCTGTTATGGTGCAGAAGAGGCACGCAAAATTCCATACTTTGGTCAGCTTTGCCACATGTTTGCTGGCATTTAGCCAACGCACAATTACTTCTTTCCTTATTCTTAAAAAAAGGTGATGTTACATCAAGAGATAATCTTGGTTGGGTACTTCTTTTAGATTATTTTATTTACGTTACTTTGCCTTTACGGTTGAGATATTGTGTTATATTAAGTATTGGTACTTGTGCTTCGTACTTAGCGGCAGTGATTGGATTGGCAAAAATTGAGTTAAATCAAATACAACAGGTGAGAAAAATTTTTGAATTAAATTTCATTGAAATCATAATGTTTCTTTTTAGCTTATTGCGAATTGTATCCTACTTTTCACTGCAAACGCTTTAGGATTTATATCTTATTTTGTTGAGGAGAAACAACAAAGGAGAGCTTTTTTAGAAACTAGACAATCTTTAGAGGTTAAATTGGTAATAGAGGAACAAACTGCAGAACAAGTAAATAATTGAATCGTTTACAGAGAATTTTTAACTAAAAAATAAATTTTTGTAGGAAAGACTTTTATTATCAGTTTTACCTGAACACGTAGCAGTACAAATGCGTCAAGATCTTGATCGAGCGGATAGCCAATTTAAGAAAATCTATATGAGTAGACACGAAAATGTCAGGTATTTAAAATTTTAAATTATTAAGTTTAAATTATTCACTAATTTTATAATAATATAAAAATTACTAAAATCTTTAAAATTAACGTGTTAAGGCTCGTTACTACCATCTTCTGATTAAGCTATCTAAGGGATTATTACCTCGGTTATGGCTATTTTACGCGCTCTGCTTGGCTAGAGGGGTTTATCTATAAGATAAATTTAACTAAAACGTGGTAGTAATGGACCTGAATGCGGTTTGCGAATTAAAAGTAAGCTACAACATTGTACGATATTGAACAGAAATAGTTATTAAGCTTGCAAAAGTGTCAGGTGATGAAGGTCGTTATGACAAATATACCGTGTAAAATATTCATCTAAGAAATGACGTAAAATTACATAACTACATGGTGAGTATGCATTTTTAAGGTGAAAACCTCAATTTTACAATTTTAAAATTGCAATTTCCCTCTAGTAAAGTTTTGTGTTCTTTAGAATCTATTCAATCTGATCAAAATTTACTTATGTACTTATGTTGTACTTACGCAAATCTAAGCGAGATTTTATGGTGAAGATAACGTTTTACAAAATATTCTCTTTTCTGTCGAAATTCACTGGAAAGCACGTTTTGGAATTCTTTGTTCTGGCATTTTCTCAATATTAGCTGTTTTTTTCAGTGTTTTCTATTATTGTTATGTTCATTATTTTACTTAGTTTCTTACTCTATCTATTCTCGATACCCTATCTGTGTTCAGATCAGCTTTTCTTGCTCTCCTCCAATGCACATTTATTTCATTTTCTTAAAATTTACTGTAAAGCCCTAGTTTTTATATTCATAACAAATTTCTTTACATAAATTCCAGATACTCTTTATTACTATAAATACTTGCAATCACTATAAAGGGTCATCAGCAGTGTGAAGCGTATAGAGTGTTATGTCATTTGTGAGCTATATTCCCATTGGCATGATCTTCTCAACCTCTTTAGTGCTTCGTTTGGATAAATGTTAAAGAGTATTGGGACAAGCATCAGTCATGTCTAAGGCCTTTAACCACTGGCAAGGTTTATGAGATAACGTTCGATTGGTGTAGTACTTTTTTCTAGGTATCGAAGGTAAATTTGAATTGCAAGGTAAATAGTGGTATGTTCGGCGAACGTTGCTATTTTTGTTTGAGGAATATGGGGGTGGTCGGTGGAATATGACGTAACAGTCGAACGGTTTGGTTGTTGATAAGATAGTTTGGTTGACTTGAATCTTGCGGGATGAGAGGTAGTCGTGTGTGAGTTTGGTGAGGTAGGGGCGCAGTTGGATTTATTAAGTTTGAAGATGAAGACATTTATTTAAAGCATGTCAAAGGTTTTTTCGCGATTGCGGGGAATTATGGTTCTATAGAAACTGAAGTTGAGTTTCTCGGGTGTGTTATTCACTATGCGAGATGTTTAGTGAGTGATGGAATGTGATAACTAAAAGCCAAACTGGCGATTAGGGGTGGAATTGTTTTCGGTGACCTGAATGGTTAGGCGTTCAAGGATCACTCTTTCCACTACTTTGGAGAGGGGAGGAGAAAAAAAAAGTCAAGTCTACCCCATCATTGAATTTATTGAACACTCTGATCACGAAGTAAATATCTTAACAACAGCAATCTATCAAACCTTTAAAAAGCGAAATCAACGATTAAGCCTTCTCAAGTAACAAAAAATGTTTGTCAAAATGTTTGGACAACTTATTGGTCCTAAAATGATTACTGTAAATTTATGTTTTGGAAATTCTGGTGTTAAAGGAAATATTTCATAAGAGGTGGATTTATTTATTGGCAAAATGTACACAAATAGAAATGTGTAAAAAACATTAAACAGTGGAAAGATACATGGATAACCGGAGTCATCAAATTTTTAATTTTGGATATATTAATGGGACAAGTGAGGAAATGTAGTCTGAACGATTGGTGTACTGATTTGCGCATGAAGACACTAATTTTTGGTAAAATAGTAACCCAGAATAGATTTGGGCAAATACTACAATGTCATTTTTTTGACAATAATATAATGCCTAACGACGCAAATTGATTTTTCAAAGCAGAGTTAATAATAATAAATATGATCAAATCTATACACTGAAATAAAATTTTTCGCCGAATGAATATAATATTTACAGAGCTGATTTCATGACAGACGTCAACTAAGTTTTCGTGTCTACAACCTTGGTAAGATTACAAAATTAGGCTGGCTAGTGAGAATGTTATATATACACTAACTTACATATCCTTCTGAAAGTAATAGTTACTTGGTCAAGTTGTGGTCGATTGTGTTGAGTATTGTTGTCTATTTTCGTTGAACTCTTCTGCATAGTTAATATGCTGCATATAAATTCTTCCAATTTAATTGGATTTAAATTTACCCTGTTTCAGCTTTTAGTTCGTAAGCTTCAATTAATTTCTATGACTTTATTTCCTGATACTTCCTTCCTATGTTTCATTTTTATTTTGAATCACCATTCGTTTAAACCTTGCTTGTCCCATTATGTGTATTATCTTATCATACATCATTTATCATATGTTTCTTTACTTTTTTGGTTTTATTTCGGCATTTCAATTCAGCAAGCTATTATTATTATCTAGTATTAGTGTAGTTAGCTAGTATTAATGTACTTAATACCTAATACTTCTCGACCTGACGAATGCAAGCTTCAACCATGTGTTTATACACTGTTTCTGGATTACCTAGTTTCTAGTTTTTGGTTGAAACAGTTTTGATAAAGTATCTTAGTGCTTTTATGATATAGTCCATCCAAGTTGTTTTTAAATTCCTTCGTTTTTTTTTTCTTTATGATTGTGTAACGTTGCTCTTTAACATATTTGAAGAGTATACGAACATGGATCTTAGCAAATAGTTATCCGACTCACAATCTGCTCCTCTATATACTCATGTCTTGGGCTTTCCAGTTGGTATTTTGTTTTACAGTCACTTTTTCGATTATAGATTGTAAGTCTCCAATTTGTTGTTGCCATATGTATTTGTGTATATTTTTGTATTTATAACACCCATTTAAAATTTGTAGATATTGTTGTTTGCAAATTTACATCAGGCTTTATACATTATTATTTAGGAAATGTTCTCCATACCTTCCACTGACCCATTTCATCATTTATCCTTCCTCCTGTACGGACATTAAAGTCGTTCATAAGAATGTATTCTCGTTGATCATCGGCTTTTATAAGTAAATATTCAAGTTATTCATAAAACTTCTCTTTTTCTAGGGCATTGACTCTTTCATATTTACATTTGCAGTCACTACTCTTTCATTTACAATTTCTTGGATAATTTGTTTTGTAGTTTTCTACTGGTTAATAGGGGCATTTCCTTACTTGCTCGGTTACTTTTACAGCCGTCATTATGAATATTCCATAAAAGCAGCAATATCGACTTTCCAACTTTCATAATTTTCTCGACGTTCTCTAATCTTGTTCTTAGTCTTTGAATGTTCCATGTTCCAAAAATGGTTTCCTTATGTCAATGCAGTTTTTATTCTTATGTTCCGAGACTAATACTGAGTTTTCTTGGAATATATTGAAAGCAGGCCTATTGTTTCAAACCCCAACCTTGCAGAGCAAGTAATTTTTGATCAAGGTTTCCCTCTTCTAGCCTTTTATGGGCCAACAACTACAAGGTAGCAGCTTCGTCGTATCCTGGCAGGAACGGTTGCTGGGTGCTATTATCCGGGCCAGATGAACATTGGTTTTTTAGCAAGGTATTACTCCTCGATTTCTCACCCTTTTTTAATCAAGTTTGGCACAATCTTTGGCGGGCTAAACTTATAGGTAATAACTTTAATATGGAACCTGATAGATGAACCCAAGAAAAATATTTTGTCTAAATTCATAAATAATATATAACGCTGTCAAAGAATGAAGTGTTGTCATCATTAAAGAAAATATTTGGCTACATAAAGAACTAGCATACCTACCATCACAAAGTGATTCAAGCTATATCTGTAACTATGAAAATAAAAATTTATCAGGTCTCTATAACGATGCTGAGTAACCCTCCAACACATTCAATCAAAAAATATCAGTATTTACATTTTCTAAGCAAGTAAAGTAATAGATTCACAACCAAAGGAAAGGAGTTACTGGAAGCAATTCTTTATTATCAACCGGAATTAATCCAACCGGCTAACCAACGTACTGACCAACAGGTGTGGTTTGAAGGTTTAGTTTATAAATTAAGAACATACCTTTTCTGCAATATTAGAATCCTATATTTCAGACAGATATTTCAGAATAAAAGCTACATCAACTACACCCCAGGGAAGTGTATTGGATCCGGTCGATATACCCCAAATAGAAAACTGTTAATATTTTTCTGAAATTTTAGAATCCAGAAATATGTTTATCAATAATATTATAATTCATACGCTATAGAGCAAAGATATGCCCTATATGTATATAATACTCTTAAATATGGGTCACCGCAATTATTAAAACTAATTATAGAAAATTCTCAACTTCATATAGTCATAAAAATTCAAGTTCAGTTTAAAAATTATTATCTCAAAAGCCAATATTGATTATTAAGTACCTTATTGTTCACGAAAAAGTACATACTATCGTCTATAAATTGCGAATATATCAACATATATCTATAATTTAATTTTACACGATTTTTGAATTTCGATGAAAAAAAATTGTTATCTTTAAAATCATAAAAATTCTGGATGATTTTACAATTTTATTATATTATCTCCAAAACAAATAGAGATTTCTAAGTATGGTATTGTTCATGAAAACGTATAAATTATACTCTATACATATCGCATATTACTTCAAGATATCTTAAGAATTTGATTTTTTACAATTTATTTTAAAAACGATACAAAAATATTCTTAACTTTCTAATATCATATAATTTCCGAATGAGTTTAAAAATGATTATCTCCAAAACAAGTAGAAATTTTTCACTACCGTTCTGTTCATAAATGAGTACATATTATCTTCTATAAATCGGTAATATTTAATTATGATATCCTAAGAATTCGATTTTTTGAATTTTTTGAGAATAATTGAAAAAAATTGTTAATTTTAGGAAATCGTGAAAATCTTGGACTAGTCAAAAAATTTATATTTCACAAACTAATAGACTTTCAAATACGCTAACCTTTATAAATTCCAATCCCTTCCTTTATAAATAGAGAATAATTCATCAAAATATCTATAATAATTCGATTTTATGCGATTTTTGAACTTTATTGGAAAAAATGGTGGAAAAACTTTGAGGAAAATTTAATAATTATTATCACTAAAACTAATAGAGGTTTTTCAACACTGGTTTTATTTTTGAAAAATTCTTACTTTCCTTTCAACGGCAAATATTGCATGAAGATATCATAGAATTTTGATTTGTAATCAAATGTTGTGCAACATGGCGTAAAAGATAAATTGCGTAACGGTAAGTTTCACTTTTTCTGAATGTTCCAAATTATTGTTAAATAAGTAAAATTCAAGAACATTTGGGCTATATTATGATTAGCTTTTTTGTACTTTTCTAAAGGGGTACTATGTGGCTTAATTGAATTACCTGCGTTGACTCTATGGTAATAAATGGGTTTCCTTAAATATTCACGCCCAAGAACTCATTTCTAAATGCGGAGTTGTGCTTTAAAGAGGGGTGCTACTAGTAGAGATTGGAAAAATACATTATCTAATATCATTTAAATGTCATATTGAGTAATTGTTTGGTTTACTATTTCAAATGTATCTGATATGAATTTGAATTCGTATCTAACTTCAACGACGTCTATATAAGAGCGCACCAATATTGTCAATTAGTGGTTTGTGTTAGGCTATACAAATTATGCTTTGCAAATTATCTAAAACGATACACTATCGTCTGCACATGTCACGCAGTATGGACATAGATGCCAAATGTTCTTTACCTGCTTCGGGTCGCCCGAGTAGAACCGATGTCTATGTGTCTTGTAATAAAAAATAAATTTTTCATCGTTCCCAAGGAGTCTTTATTTGTCACTATGGTGTCTATGACACCAACACGATATTTTTATATCTTTAATAACAGAAATTTGATGAGTATCACATTTACTAATCTATGAAACTTACAATGTACATATTGAGCAGTGAATATAATCATAAAATTATTTTGGCAATGAAAAGGTAAAGATGAAAAAATGCAAAATATAATTACTCTATTTCAGATTTCCTTATATCTTGTATTCTTCTCCATTGTTTCACCACTTTTTCAGTGCTGAGTAATCGTCTTATTTTTCCTTCCATTCACCTTAACTTTTCTGGTTCCAAGTGCTTCATTTAAACATTTCGTTATACATGTTCTTCTCTTTGTCCAGGTTTTATTTACGTCATTACCTTCTATTACGGGTCTCGAGATACTTTTCCGTTCATTCGATATTGTCCAAATCTTTCTATGTTTAATTTTGTATCGATAATACACGGTTTTCTTCTTTGTAGATTAGCTTTAAATCATTATTTACAGAGTACTAAACCATGTTGGGTCTCTACGTTGGCAGAGGTTAATATTCTGACGTCTATCTTAATTAGTAATAGTAAAATCGATGGTTGAATTCTGGTTTCCTGTGTTTTGCATTATATCTAGGGTCCGAGTATTTCCCAGTCTAGAGTGAAATTCTAGACTGGGAAAGTTTAGAATATAAACCCCGTTATAAAGACTCGCTTTTTTGAGTGTTCTGTCCAGGTTGTCTCGTAATTCTTCAGAGAAAGATAGTTCTTCTTTGAGTTTAGTTGTACGTATGTACAGGCTGGGCCAATTTGGGTACTTTTAAGGGGAACTCCCTATTTCTATAAGAGATACAGGAAAAATGATATCAGTGTCTGAGGCTCGATTTTTATAAGAAACTTAATGGCGAAAACCGCATATCGATATCTCTTACGGTTTCAGAGATGCAGGCTGTTTCTCAAAAAAGTGCATTTTCGAAAACTCGTCATAACTTTTTTCTTATTAATAAATCTTCCTTTCTGTGAAAACATTTCCAAAGCAACTTTTTAAGTAGAATTCGATGGAATAAGTTAGCTTTCCCTCAAAGCAATATTTTAGCAGTTATTGACACAAAAATGATTATTTTAAATGGAACATCCTATATATTTTTGCTAATTCGACGAGAGCATAAAATTTCTTTGAAATATACAATTTTAAGACTTATATCTGCAGATTTTGAAAAAGTATGCTTTGGAAATAAAAGAAAAACGTGATTATATTTATATGTAGTATCAAGATAGTTGGTTACAATGGATTAAAACATAAACTCATAAACAAAAAGCAGATTAGATTAATAAAACGTATCTTATTATAAAACAAGAATAAATATATGGCAACAACGCTTCATCTGTCCAAATACAATTTAAAGGAAAATTGTGTGCTTCGTCACATTTTCCCAAGAACCATTGGCAAAAATTCATGCGCCGTTCAAGATCTCCTGGTCTGAGGTAATGGATTTTGCTAGTTCTGTATGGCTTAAATTTGATTTAATGATTTTCAAAATCCGCCTAGCTTTGGTTTTTGGAATTCGCGTGGTCACACTCAATCGCCGCGTTGATATCTGTGGATTATTTTCCATTGCCCCTAAAACTACTACTTCTTCTAATTTTGTAGAGTTTGTAGATTATATCACAATCTTCTAAAAATATCATTAAAAGGCAGCCGCCTCTCTGGATATCGTTCATGACTACATTTCCTTCAGTCTCTGCATTCTTCCCAGATTGTATAAAACATACTATCATGTCCCATTTTTCATAATTTTTATATGACATTACTTTGAAAGTTGATGACAATTAAGTAATACTCTAACGATAAGCACTAACACTTACAACTTGAATCAAAATTTGACAGATAGATACTCATAAATAATACATTTGTTTTATCGAAACGCCGTCAAAACTCACTAGCCTACAAGTACGCAATTGAAAATCTTAAAAGCTTCCAAATTGTATATTTCAAAGAAGACTTAAACGAGATATAAAATGTGCTATATTTTTGGAAAGGAAATTTTATGCTTTCGTCGAATTTGCAAAAATATATAGGGTGTTCCGTTGGTCCATCCTGTTGGAACCACATGTTTTCTAGATCCAATTTCTTCAATTGAGGAAGCGTTATTTGGCTACAGCCATAGTATTCTCAGTAGAACGGCTGCTTCGGGGTCGGATACACCTAGGACCATCTCGTGTTGTACCATACTCTTCAAAGCGAGCGGCTAAGCGCCGTAATGTTTGCCCAGTTGGTGTCCGACTGGGTAATCTGCGCCGAAATTCATGTTGCACCAACACTACTAACGAATTATTCCTTAAAAAAACGAAACAATTATTCCGCGTTCTTAGTAGTATAGCGATCCATGTCTTGTTGACGTGTATTTTGTGTATGTTTACTTCACAAAGGTCATTTGCTGGCATTTGCAAAAATTATAGCATCTTATGAAACTAGTATACTAATCAAATATACTTTATCCTTATCAAGGCACCTTTGAATAGGATATTTAAATCTGCATCCAACAATTAAAGCGACATAACCGCAAAAAAAACTTCAATCGCTCAATATTGATTTAAAGTTTACTCAAATTAACCTTCTTGAATATCACGTTATGAAAGTTTTTGTGTTTTTTGGCAAATCAAGTAAATGTTGTTTATGACGTTTTGGCTTGGCAGCGTCGATACATTACACAAATCTTTGTGTAAAGTATTCCTACACCAACATGGGCGCTTTGGTTTTTTTCTTTTCCGCTTTTGGTACCTACTTCGTCTGTTTTCTTTAATTCCGATAAAGCTTCTTTTCTTCTTCTTCTTGCTATAGAACCTAGTCCTGTCTGATTTGTTTTATTAGTTCTTGTGTTAAGGATGTTTTCCAGCATTCCATGGCTGGAATTCTAGCTTTCCATCCAGCATTTTGGCGGTTTCTGAACGTTTGGTTTCTGGTGTTTGTGTTTTTACCCATTTAGCAAGTTGTCACGCTCTCGTTTGACTCATCACGTCCTACACTCCCACAATGAGAGATATTATGTACATATCACCTACTCTGTCTTGGTATTAATCTGGAGTGTAATAACTTTTATACTATTTAAAGTGTTCTTTCTGTAGTCCTCATTATGGCTTTTATGTGGGATGTTTCAGCGCTAGTCTGGATTGTATAGGGGAGTAGAGGTCAGGCACAGGTCTTGTATATTCGAACTTTGCTTTCTACACTCTTCTATTTGTTGCGTCATATTACATCTCTTAGGTAGCCTGATATTCTTGCTGCCTTATTTACTTGATTCCTCACTTCATCCATTAGCCGCCTGTTGCTCGATGTATCCATCCCTAGATACCTAACCGTCATTACTTGACCTATTAAACGTTCATTGACAACTTATTTGCATCTGATGAGATCTTTGCAATTACCATCAATTTGGTCTTTCGCTCGCTATTTCCATATTAAATTTTTTGGCTGTTTTTGTAAATCTGTGCAGAATTCGATGTAGGTTGTCGTGGTTCTCCGCTATTAGTATAGCATCGTGTGTATAACAGAGGATTCATAGAAGGTGGTTATCCTTTTGCGTTGACCTTGTTTACGCTTTGTTATCTTGTCCATTAATTTAATTTTGTGCTTACTTAATTCAATAATGGTTTCCTGCTCTCTGATGGCATATGAAAATACATTCCAGCAGATACATAAGATTCATCCGTGTTTCAATTTATTATTAACAGTTAACAGTAACCCAACTTCCTTTATCTGGGCTTTGGGCCAGCAGTGACTTGTGATGAGTTATTCAATAGAGCCATAAGCGGCCTCAGGCAAAGTTAAAACCACCAAATTAACACTTCTATCTTTATTAATATGTAAATGACAAATTTTTAATTTTATTTAACAATCAAATCCAACTGTATAACATCTCATTAAATAATTTTTTAATTTTTAAAGTATTTTGTATGCTGACATCGTTGGATTTACTGCAATATCTTCAACATATTCCGCACAAGAACTTGTTAAAATGCTCAACGAATTATTCGCAAGATTCGATAAATTAGCCGAGGTAAAAATCGAAACAAATCTCTATAAAAATTTTTCATCAAAAACATTTTATTTTTAAGAAATACCATCAATTAAGAATAAAAATCTTGGGTGATTGTTATTATTGTATAAGTGGAGCGCCCGAAGAAAGACCAGATCATGCAGTCCTTTGTGTTCATATGGGTTTATCAATGGTTAAAGCCATAAAGTAATCAAGTATTTCCAAGTAATTTTTTTTTGTAATTTTTATAACATTTTTAGATACGTGCAACAAACGACAAATTCGCCAGTCGATATGAGAGTTGGAATCCATACAGGTGCTGTATTAGCGGGGGTTTTAGGTCAACGCCAATGGCAATTCGATGTATATTCGAAAGATGTTGAATTAGCAAATAAAATGGAAAGTTCTGGAATGGCTGGGTAAAAAAATTAAAATAAAGAAAATAAAAATATTTTTTTTTAATAATTTTAGGCGAGTTCATATCTCAGCTACAACTTTATCATTTCTCAGTGGAGAATTCGAAGTTGAACCAGCTTATGGGGAAAAACGAGATGAATCTTTAAGAATTGCTGGGTTAAAAACTTATTTTATAGTTAAAGTTTTAAAACCAGTAAATAAATTAATTCATTTAATTTTTTGTTATTAATGATGTTTCATTTCTTATCAGTTTGTTCCTGAAATAAATCAAGATGTTCAAAACGGTGGTGGAATAATCCAAGAAGAAGATAGTTGCGTTGATTTAGCATCAGAAAAAGAAGAGGAGGAATCGAATCAAATAGGCGTAACGAGACAAAGACAAGATTCAGAAGATTTTAAAAATAGGTTAAGAAAAGAACTTGTAAATAGAGATGGTCATAAGGAACTTGGAAAAAGTACTAATTATTTTACGTTGGCCTTTACTGGTGAAGATGTTGAAAAATCTTATCATGAGTACACCGAGTCGTTTTCTAGTATAACCCTTCAAGCTTTTTTAGTTGTTAGATTGGCAGTAGGAATTTCACAATTTCTCATTTTACCTAGAAGATTATTGAATATGTTAACCTTTATCGTTGGAACTTTATTATTTCTTGTAATCTCATTAATAAGTTTAGTAGAAGCTATTCCTACGGTAAAAATTACGTTAATCTTATTGAATTAATTAATTAAAAAAAATTTTTTCAGAAATTTTCTTCGTGTTTTGATTCCCTCATCATTAGATCATTTTGGTTTAGAAGAACTTTAGCAGTAGTTTGCATTATTGTTTTAACATTGGTTAATGTTTTAGACGCGGTAAGTTTTTATTATCAATAATTATTTTAAAATTTAAATTAATTAATCTTTTTAGATATCTTGTGTTCCACAACCACAAATTTACGAAAATTGCACTTCGATAATTATTGAAGAAATGAATTCAAGCTGTTTATATCCGTCTTACTTCAGTTTTTTCGCCGTTTTAATCTTGGTTGTAGCATCTTTACCCGCATCCTTGTCTTACATTTGTAGGACTATTTTAATGGTTCTTATAGCAACCGTTCATTGTCTCGTTAACTTTCTGCTTTTGGGAAAAGCTTTGTATTGCGAAGAAACTAAGATGTACTGGAAAAATTTGGTTCAAGCAAAATGTGCTTTATCTTTGTTGTTACTTACAGCTGCTGTGGCGCTTGGAATTTTAACAAGACATGTAATTTTATGGTTTGATTTTATGAGTAAATTTGAATTAATTAATTTTTTAGATGGAGAGGATAGGGAGAGTTTTATTTTTATGGCGATCGGAAGTTGATACCCAAAGAGAATGTGCAGCTGATATGAGACGGAGAAATGAAGCTTTGGTTTATAATATTCTGCCACCTCATGTTGCTGAACATTTCATGGGGAACAGAAAGAGGCAACACAATGAGTTGTATTCGCAAAGTTATGCTGAAGTTGGAGTATTATTTGCTTCGATGCCAAACTTTTCTGGTAATAAAAATTATTTTTATTACACTTGGATTAATTTTTGTTGGATTTAAGACTTTTATTCAGAAGAGACCGTTAATAATCAAGGATTAGAATGTCTTCGTTTTTTGAACGAAGTTATTTCAGATTTTGATGCGGTAAAACTTTTTATACAAAACAATAATCAAATAATAAATTGTTTTTTAGTTATTAGAATGGCCACAATTTCAAGATATTATTAAAATAAAAACGATCGGTTCTACTTATATGGCTGCAAGTGGGTTAAACCCAACGAGATACGTTAAAGTAATTATGAATAATTTTTTTTTATTTCTAAGTAATTTATTAATTTTAAGGTTGATGATCCAATAACAATTCGTTGGGCGCATTTAGCCCTTTTGGTCGAATTCGCTTTAGAATTAAAAAAAGCACTACAAAGCATTAACGAACAAAGTTTCAATCATTTTGTTTTAAAACTTGGTATAAATCATGGTCCTATAACCGCCGGGGTTATCGGCGCAAGGAAACCACATTACGATATTTGGGGAAACACTGTAAATGTTGCATCAAGGATGGAAAGTACAGGAAAAGCTGGATGTATTCAAGTAAAACTTACTACTTATTTTAAAATATAGGAAAACCTCGATATAACGGACTAATACGGGGAAGGGAGTGTCCGTTATAGTCAAAAGTCTGTTATATGAAAAATTCTAAATTTGCACTTTAAAGACTCTGAAGAGGGACAGCTAAACCCGAAACTTTCTAGTTCCAGGTTTAGTGTTAGTTCTAGTTTTAGTTCAATGAAAAATATACTTCCTCTTCTTCTCTTGATCCTTCATCCGCGTCGGATATATCTTTTTCCTATTCCTCCATCCATCTCTTCCACCCCTCCGGTTTCTGGATAATTCCCTTATACCTGCTACAGTCTTCCCTCTCTTCTTCCCAACTTCTGCTATTCTTTCCTCCCATTTCCACCCATTTCCAGTACAATGCCATAAAAGCCCTTTCAAAAAATTCATATACAAGGAACTCCGAACAAGAATAAAAACCTTTCAACAGCAGAAATTGCTTTATCAATGTTGCAAACTTGCTCACAGGTAAAAGTATAACCGTTAAAGGTAATTTATTGTAAAACTTGAGCGCAGTAAAATCTACACCTTTCTGTTACTTAGAGAGTCTGCAATATTTAGGTTTTAGCTTACGTATATTTTACTTATGTATATCTCTGTGGGCAGTATATTTATCTACATTATTGTGCAAGTACAACAGATACTCTAATATAAATAGCGAGGGAAATGTTAGTATTCTCTGATCTATAAAGGCTTCACGGCACTCGTGTCGACACTTCACACCACATATGACACGAACGGCACGTCGCTGCAGTCGAAAAACCCTACACCAACCCGAACAGTTCCACCAGGCCAACAGAGAATATGATAATAGCAATTGACATAGTGCAAAGTAAGCAGTTCTCAACCTCGGTCACTTCGCCACCCAAATTGCGCAACACAAAAATGTTTTCAGCTTTCCGTAAAGTATACTTACATGCTGATCCCATTTCAATGTGGTGTCCAAGCGAACACCCAAAAAATCTATGAATTGCTCACCCATCAGATCTGATTGAACGCCTCTCAGTGTAAAGACAGCTGCAGCTGTTTTGTTGGAATTCAGATTTAAGCCGTTACACGTAAACCACTCCCCAGCCTCACAGCGCGACGCCCGATTTACTGCAACAGCATTAATGAGGATTTTATGTCTGCTGATTAAAGTAGTGTCGTCAGCATAGAATATGATTGAAGACTTAGATATTGAAGCAGGCAAGTCATTTATATAAATGAGAAAAAGCAAAGGCCCCAACACTGATCTTTGTGACACTCCAATAGAAATGCACTCTGGTGTAGAATAGCTATCTATACAACAGACTATTTGTCTTCTGCCACCAAGGTACGATTGAATCATCTTAATACTACTGTCACCAAATTTATATCTATTCAGCTTCTTTATTAATAAATAATGGTAGAACGTAGTTGTCATATACTCGCCTCTCTCATAATAGTCTGTTGCGTGTTGTACAAAATCCATAATCGAGTCTCCCGTGGTACGATTCGTATTGACATGAATCGAACTAGTTATTATTTAAAAAAAATCGACAATTCTTTTATTTATGATTTTTTCAAAATTTTTTGAGAATACTGGCAGGAGTGACTGATTGGTCGATAATTTTCTATTACAAGAGAATCGCCTTTCTTAAAGACAGGAGTTACCAATGCTAACTTTAAAGCAGTTGGTTAATTTTGTTAAAGGAGATGATATTACACCTTTTATCAGTTTTAATATTACAGCATTTAATCCATAATGCCTAAAGAAGTATTTTTAAAAAAACAGAATATATTACGAACCTCAATTAAACCGACCAGCTAAAGGCAGAATTTCCCAAGTAGTACAGTGATATTCGATAGCAGCTCATTAAAGTTAGTTTTCAAGTTATCCAGCTGAATTTTATTAACAAGATCTAGGAAAATCATTTATAAATATTTAATAATTAATCATTAAATATTTATAAATTAATTATTTACTTCATTTGGATACTTTTCTTGCTTATTCGATGACTGTTCATTATTTTCCACATATACTCACATGAATATTTTTTTGTTTTAATATCTAAATTATATCTATCTTTAGCATCCTTTAGAATCCATCTTGTCTCTGTATTTTTTTGCTAGAAAGTTAAGTTCTCGCTTTAGTTTCTCACAACCTGTGGCATAGTGAACATATATAAACACCAATAAAGGAATGATTTTTTGGTCAAGACAGCCGTCAATAAAAACTTCGCTAAAGAGGTAGAGGTAGTTATGGTAATCTGACAAAATAAGATTCTCAGATCTTTTGCGCAATAAAGAAAAACATAAATAGTCGTCTTGGTTACCATGATTATTCCATTTTCTATGATTTTTAAGTTTTTCCTTAATAAGTTTAATAGAGGACGGAGCATACCACTGCGGAAAGCGATTAGAGTTCCTTGGAACTAGGGCTTGCAATACCGAACCAAAATCTCAATACCGGTATTCGGTATTCAAAATTTTTAAAACCGGGATACCGGTATTAATACCGGTATTACTATAAAAAAGTGTACTCACTAAATTACAATCACTAAATATATCTAATTGTAAGAATTTTTCCCTTCTGCGGCGTCATCTCTACTAACAACAGGTTAATTCCTACTATATTTTTAAATTGGCAACAAAGCATAAGATACAGAATCTGAGAAGATAATCAAAAAATGGAAAGATATTAGGAATCTGTACAGAGTACCAATAAACTTAAAGGTCTGGATACCATTATTGTTTTGTTGTCTTTCACTTGGTCTAAAGGTTCAACTTCACTGCCGCGTCAAAAAATGAAATTACACTTCATCATCTGAAGCTCTGTAGAATTCTTTCGAATTTTCTTTTTGGAATTTTTTGGAAAGGTGCAGATTCAAGAAAGAAACTTTAACATAATGGCCCTTGGTAGTTTGTCAGACTTATCATACTACTGTTATACTTGGTGGGACATTACACAAATCAAACTGACCTGAAACACCATTATGGAGTAAAAACTCCAAAAATAGTTGTATGCAGAGACTATTTTATTGTTGGTTAGGTATGACAAATTTTTTGTACACGAACATTAAGTTGTCGTCATCGAAGGTTGAGTCTTCGTTATCTTCAATATTCTGTCAGAGTACAAAATGATATTTCTTGTAGATGGTATTCCCACTGATCAAAAAATGTCACTTGAAAAAATGAGGTTAGTACGGACATAAGATAGATAACAATTTTTTGTTTGGTCAACATCATTTTCCAGCACAGCTTTAAACAAACACGGTCGTTTTCAATCGGTCGCTTCCGGCTAGCATTTTTTTAATGAAACGTCAAAAAATGTCACTTGAAAATGTAAACTTAGAACGGACAGAAAATAGATAACAAACACGAGTCCTCTACGTCATTTTCCAGCACAACATCAAACTAGCACGGCGGTTTTCGAAGACATCGACCGCCCCCGAAATTCCGGTATTTTGCCATCAATACCGGTTTATAATACCGGACAAGAATTGTCCGGGATCCCGGTTTTTGGGATCCCGGGATCCCGGTATTGCAAGCTCTACTTGGAACCCTACGCGGTATATAAAAGTGAATAATTCTGTGGAAATGTGTGTAGACTACCTGCAGAGCCTAGTGCAGATTTAATCATATTGTAATCAGAGTGAATGAAAAAATATTTATGACAACCACCATCATTCAGCTCAAAATTTGAAAAAAATTGGAGACTCAACTCTAAAGCAGAATGATAGTGATCAGGAATATCTAGAGGGTTAGGACAAGTACGGATCTTACTACAAATTGATTACACAAAATTAAACCAAAAATTCTGCCATTAACCATTGTAACAGATTACAATAAGAGATTGTATGCCAAAATTGAGTTGAATTGGACGAAATATTCTCCATAGGCAAAAGTTCTTCAGCAGTAGATGGTTGCCACGACACCTCGGGTTAGTTGAAGTCACCAACCAGCACCAAAACATCATCCATATAGCAATCGGAGATATTCTAAAGCTGGAGAAAAAAAAATTATTTATCGCATTTGATGCCGTAACCACAGATCTTCGGCCCCAGTTGATAAATCGGGAAGTAGAAACACAGGAAGATCCCCCCTCGCAGCCACCAGGACTTCACCTCCGTCATCTTTGAGTGAAATTGAAGAAGATCTATCTACGTCGATATAATATAACATACTTGTCGCAAAGAAACTCTTCATTGTAGACAGAATCGTTAAGATAAATTTCCGTGAAGTCTTTGATTATAGGCCACGCACGTTCTGCTAGTACAACGACCAAGTCATGAGACAATTAGTGTAAACAGAACTAATATATGTTGTATATTTTTAGTTCAATAAAAATATACAACAATCTAACGCTGAACAAAAATTAAAACCAGAACTAACACTAAACCTAGAACTAGAAACATTCGTGTTTAGCCGCCATAAGAGACGTACGGCTAAACCAGAATGTTTCTAGTTCTAGGTTTTGTGTTAGTTACAGATTTAGTTCAATGAAAAATAGGTATACAACAATCTAGTGCTGAATAATAACTAAAACTAAAACTAACAGGTAGAACTAACTAGAAACAGTCAATTTCGATCGGTAGAGAAATATAACAATTAAAATTAGAACTACCCTCCTACACATCGTACAGAAAGCTCGGGGGATTCCCCGAGTTTATCTATGAACATGGAATACAGCAACTTAAGAAATAACCTAAGTTGGATTCTATCAATGTGCGCTAACATTTATATTTAAATATACTACTGTATTAAATAGATAATACCAATAGTATGACTTAAAAATATTTTGTCCGTTCTAACGAGGTTCATTATATCTGTTTTAATTTAATTAAGTTAATTTAATTTTCTAAAATTAAGGTAACCGAAGAAACTTGCGAAATTTTACAACACTTTGGTTATCAATTTGAACAACGTGGATTAGTTGCTGTAAAAGGAAAGGGGCAATTAATGACTTATTATCTCCTTGGGAAAGCTGGAAAAATAACGCCACCCACAGTTCCTGTTTCACCAATAGGTGGAATTCTTAATACAATGGAAACAGTAACCGAAGAAGAAGAAAGTAATGGTAGCCCAATATCCAAAAGTGACGAAAAAACGGTTATTGAATGTTCAAATGGAAATAGAAGTGATGACGATGTTTTTGTGAACGATATGGATGTCGTTCAGGGGACGCAACCTTTAATAATCGATGAGATTTTAATAAAGGAGTCGTGTGAAAACACACTTTTATTAAGTGATTCGTAAAAAAATTAAAAATAACAAAAAAAAATTAAACCAGAGAAAATAAATTAATTACAATCAATGTTACTAATACACAAAACTAAAAAAAATGATCTAAAGTTATCTTCTACTTTTTTTATACGCCATATCAAAACGAACTAAAGAAATAATGCAAGAAATAACTTAAAGAAATAGTTTTTTCTATATCGTGAAAGCAATCACTATTTTTTAATTTCACATCTAAATAAACAAAATAAATATTTCGAACGGTACTTGTTCCATCATTCTTCTTCAAATAAAAACGCTAGCAACTAAAATAAATACATACTTATTATTGTAAGTAGTGATGTGAGAGAAAATACAAATATAAGAACAATATAGAGTTAAAATAACTAAAAATTTAAAAAAATCGTAGAAAGAAATAGTGATAATTGAAGAAGTTACAAAAAATTATTATTATTAAAACGCACATTCGAGTAATAACACTGGTTTACAAATAATACAAAATATTGGCCGTGTTTTGGACACGAAAAAGCTTGTTATAAATTTATTCAAAATTATAATTACGAATCTTCGATAGATTTTTGTTATGAGATTTGAATTTGCAAACATAGAGTAAATGATAAAAATTGCTTTAGGAATGGATATCAAGCGATCGACAAACAATTTGTTGCAATTTTTTAGTAACGATTTTGTGAAGTTATAATGGAGCATTGAACAAAAAGAAAATAAAATGAAATTGCAACTAACAGAAATATACATTTTTTGGCTCAATGTATTTGTATATCAAAAGAGTACCAATGTAAAAAGCGGAGACCGTGTATATTGTGTGGACTATGTAGGAGATTTTCAAATTGAATATTGGTTAAATGAAGTGTACAAAATGCTAATAAAAATGCGATCCTCAAAGGGGTGATATATGTACACGGGTAGACCACGCATATATCGCAATAAAAAGATCTAAACTCAACGTTTAAGTTTATAACAAACATTACAGTAAAAACTACAAACGATGATTTCATTTTTTTGGCTATTTTCTGCCGGTCTTGATGCACGTCTAAAATTAAACTATAAATGTAATGATAGTAAAAATAAAATTTATAATAATGCACGTCTAATGACAATAATAAAAGCCGGATTGGTGTGGATAACAAGTTGAGAAAATTAATTTAAATGATCGAAGATATATTATGGAGGCTAACAGTAACTTTAATAATCTTCAAAGAAATGTTTTTTGTTTTAAATTTAGTTGTAATAGCTGCAATTAGTTTCAAAGGTTTGTTCTGATAACTATAAAACGCTTGTTTACCTTTCAGTGTATGCGTACGTCCCTATCTCTTTTTTACAATTAAATGTTTTCTGGTCATCTTTCGCCGTGCACGAATTTTGCCCATATTTTCTTCTTTCTCGCAAAACTTCTGGCTTCTTAGCGATGCTTATTTGAACTTGGAGGTCATCGTTTTTCGTATATAAAGAATAAAACACAAGTGTTTGCATAAAACGATGACAATTTATTTCAAATATCGATGCTGCCTTCAGGCACGACTAAAAAAATTTAAGGAATAAATTACAATAATTGACTTAAATATTACAAGATGTTAAATACCGTCAAATGTTAACATTTGATTTGCTTCTTGTACAGTTTCTCCGCTTTTGATGATTATCTTATTTATTGCCTTATTCCAAGTGTTTCACGGTCTTTCTTTCTTTCTAATCCCTTGCTTTCAAAGAAACTCAATTTTTGCACTTTTCAATGGATTTTTATTTTGTATTTTAGGTTCGACCGGTTTCGATTTAACAAATACATTTATTTGTGTTTCCATTTAAAATGGCGGCTAAAGATAATAACAGCCATTGAACCATATTAATTTGTTAAAGTTATTTAGAGTTGTAATAACCAGAAGTAAAGTTTTTCAGTTGCATATTTTAACACGACATTGAAATGAAGAAAATTGTATTGTATTCATGGTTGTGTCATTATGACGTGGTTCCTGAAGTTGATTTAAATTAAATCGAAACCGGGCGAACCTAAAATACAAAATAAAAATTCATTGAAAAGTACAAAAATTGAGTTTAATTTTTTCTATAACATCGACCAAACCCTCAATTTTTACCTCCTTCCTTTTGTCATCATTCCTAATCTTGCCTCCCTTTATTCTTCTCAGGTCTTTCATTTCTACAGCCAGTAATGTGCTCTTTTCCGTTTTCGTTAGCAACCACGTTTCACAACCGAAAGTTAAGATAGGTCTGTAAATTTCTTTGTGTATGTTTATTTTCGTCTTCCTCGTTAATTCCTTTTTGTTATTTCTTTCAGCATCTTATCTATTCTTGTATTTCTGTTATTCTTGGCTTCCGTGGTTATTTATTTCGATCCTGACGTACTTGAAATGCTTAACTTGTTCAATATCTGTTCCACCAATCACTAATTTTTAACCATTCATTACTACCTATCATAATTACTTTAAATAAAATCCATGTAAAAACTTCTAAATTGCATTTATTTATATAAAGTCGTACTACTTTCGGGTTACCCTATCATATAGGGTAACTAATGACCCTATGATCATATAGGGTCATATATGATCATATAGGGTCTACATCACTAGGGTCTACGTATTAAAGATATGTTGGTGGGATGAGATGAGGCGAGACTGTCTCGTCTCATCTCAGATTTACTCGATTTTCTAATTTTTTAACATCCCACACTTTTTAACGTCGCTATTCCTATTTCATCTTTTATCTTTATTTTGTTTATCCACCAGAAAGGAAAATGCTTTATTTTCATTTGATTTCCAGTCTACAAGTTAGAAGTTTTTACATGATTTTTATTTGATCATTAATCTTGCAACATGGATAACTCTTTCAATAATTACTTTAGTTTTCGACTTGTTCATCTTCATTCCAAAATCCTTTCTAGTCTCATTCCATTTACTTAAAGTAACATTTAGTTCTTTTTCGGCTCTAGCTGTAATAACCACGTCATCCGCGAATGTTCCTTGTAGTACTTCGGCGTATTTCTATAACAGACAAGGAATTTCTTTACCCCCACTTTTTTATTATCTCGTCCATGTACGTTTTGAATAAGGTTGAGTTCAATGCTCTGCCTTGTCTGAGATCTACTTTAATCACGAATTCATTTGACTTAAGTTTTTATAAATCACTGTATTAACAGTGTTCTCATACACCACTCTTAAAATATTCAAAAATCTTCCCATTAATACGACTTTTTCGTAATATTTCCCATAGTTTTTGTCTCAGTACCATATCAAACGCTTTTCCAAGTCAATAAGTCTCTTTAATTTTTTGGACATTCTTTAAAGTACTATCATCGTTAGAATGCGATCTAATCGTATAATTTGTAGTCTTATTTTAAAATTTTTGGTCTTGAGAACATCCTTTGTTTTTATTTTGTGTACCATACAAGTCTGCAAAATATGGAGCTAAAAGGCCAGGGATTCTGCTAGATCTCCTTTATCGCCTCGTTGATTACTTTTCATTCAATGAAAACCGTTGAGAACGACTTCGACAAAATTATCTCATCATATCAACTGAAAACGATGAAACGGTGGTTCTTGTAGATGATGATGTGATTGCTAATGGTTTTTATGAATCGTTCACGAAATGAAAAGTTGCCCGAATCTTATTACCGCCGCATGGTAAACCATACATCTATATCCGATACAGCATCTCGTTCAACATAACTTTAACATATTCCGGGATTTTCGGGTTATAATAAGATTTCTTTTTGACAAGTCGTTGACCAAGAGAATTAAGTAAACCAACCTCTTGATCCCTGTACTGTATAATTTAACGTTGAACTAAATTTGGTATTCGCAGAATTAAAATCCGAGTACGGGTATCCATTTCCATGCAAGTTGATGATTTTGTGGGCTGCCATGACATACAAAAAACCATATTTTATCGATTTGAGCTGCTCCGCTGTTTGGTTGCTTTCCGAATCTTTGTTCAATTATGTGAGTGGATGCTATGGACAAGAACGGTCGTATTTGGAAAGCCTTGCTCATTTCCTCTAAAAAAGTGTAGATAATCCGGTAATACCATTTAAAATTTTCTACCACAGGAGGAAAATTTTCGCTGCATTATATCTTGTAACGCGGTAAGGTTGGCTTTCCAAACGGGCGGACACACACCTATGGTGATCACGTTTCTGATCATAAAATAGTTCGTAAATAAGCTCTTGTAGAGGTCTGTTCTGTGCCATAAAAGTAACCGGTATATTCCGCCTCACTGGAGCAATAATTTTGTGGTCAGTTTCTTACATCACGAATATCAACGGTATGGATATTTAATACTCAATATCGGTACCGTCCAAACATTATCATTTTATCATGTTCAGGTTTTTTATACTTCATCTATCTATCTTAATTTCATATATTGTTAATATATAATCTAAGAACCCTTCTACCATTTATTAAATCTTTTCTATTTGTTCCCATATCCCTCGTTTTCCTTGGTCTGGCTTTCCTACTGTCTTTTTATATTTTTGCCGTCCTATACTTTTTTAACTAGTACTTTCTCACGGATCCTCTGCAAGGATCTCCTTTCAATATATAGCAATATAGATTGTATTGTCAGATTACCCCTGATATCCACATTCCTCATTTTATTGCTCTTCGTTACTCCTCTTACTGTTCTTATTGCTTTAACAGAACAACTCTTCAGTTGTTCTGTTAAAGCCCAAGTTTCGCATCCAAATGGGAGTATTGGTCGGTACACTATTTAATAAATTATCTTTTTGATATCCCTGGTAATCTCCGTTGTTTATAAATTTACTGTTCATTGCGTAGTATAGATTAATGCCTTTAAATATTCGGTGATATACTAGGTATTGAAAATAATCCACTAGTTATTCTCTTTCCCAATCATTACCTTAGTTGTGCTCTTATTCACTGTCATACCACTCTTTTCCAATCCTAGTTTCTTTGATGAACAGCAACGGCCTGGGATTGCCTTCTTGTCATAATTCCATGTTTGTTGTAAATGTTTCTGATATCAAATTATTTCTTATAACTGCATCGGTGTTCATTACATATATTTTTTATATCAACTTTATCGTATTTTTTGTTCTCCTCTTTCCATTAAAATTTGCCATAGTCTTTTCCTGGGATTACTATCGAAAGCCTTTCCTTTATACCACAAATTGCCTTCTATGTGTTTTGTGTTATCGTAAACATGCGATCTTGCGCATTCCTTCCGATCTTAAACAGGATTTGTGCTCCTCTAGCTTTTTCTCTACTTTGTCTGTCAATGTTTTTTGTATTATTTTCTTCAATACTTTCATGGCAGTGCTTAGTAATATGACACCACAATAGTTTATGCAATCCTGTGCTAGTTTGCCGATGTTTTATATTATGTTAATAAGTTCTTAAGTTAGTACTAATCGTCAAGGCCAAAACTGATTCTAAAGAAACGTTTGGTTGTAGTCCATTATAACATCTTATAACCGTTTTTATTATTGCACCACGATATGACATCTTTTCGATATTCAAACTGAATTCATCAAACAACTTTTTGGCCGAGTTTTGAATTACGTGACGTTGTTGTTTGAATGATGTTGTTTTCATGTAAACATTACTTTCCTTGTCGGTCTCCATATAATGCATAAATATATTTCTTTTCTTGCCATGTTCAGAAATATACACAAATGATACTCTACACATCGCAACAAAATCATCAAATTTCTTTGTTAAAATATTTGTTCAGAGCAGCTACAAAGAATTCCATAGAGTCATGGAGTAAACGTTTCAAGTGAATGCAGCCGTAAGCTTATGCAAGGTGAATAATTAAAATAAACATATTATCATGTTTAATTTTGTGATATTTTAACATTTAATATTCGAAGCTATTTCGCATAAGATATCTATGCGATAAGACATCGTTGTATATCATTGTATTGATGTTATCAGAGCATCAAGAGCAACTTGAGCAACTAAGTGTAAGTTGTTTATGTTTATTTGCATAGTTGTTCGAGACTTATTTGAAACTTTAATATGTTTTTTTTCTGTACTTTACTAATTTCACTACTTTCCTTATCTTTTGCTTTACATATTACACGATCACACAAAAATAAGTGTAATGAAGTACTAGTAACATTGTTGTTTGCAATAAACATCTAAATTCCTCAAACTTTTATCTAGTTTTTGCGTATTACTTCGTTGACTTTTAGGCAAAACTTCATCTTTATCCGCTCCTTTGACAGCAAATTGCTTTTGGTTACATTTTTACTCCCTGCTATGTACAAAAATTTCTTTTTACAATGAAGTGATGGACACACAAAAGAATTTCATATCGACAGAATGTCGCAAAAATATCTCCACAGTATTTGCATGTCCCACAGATTCCAAATGGAGGGTCAGCACCAAAATCATGATATATAGAAAATTCTTTCGTTAAAAACGACCGAATTTCTAGTATTGTGTTGGAAATTCAACTACGACATTGCGTGAGATAATGAATGCGCCCAAAACAACTTACAAAGATTAAAATTCTATAAAGACGTGACTGTAATATGTGTGAAATATCATTTTCTGCATTAAAATTAATAAAAAATTGATCAACTAGAAATCAGTACTTAATATACACAACGAAATATTAAAACGTGCACATTTATTGGATTAGTTTACAACGATGAAATAATTTATTAATAACAAAAAATGGAAAAACCTTTTCGTGTCCAAAAACGTGTTTGTAAACATGTGTTATAATTAATAATTTTCTTAGGTTTTGATATTTTAATTTGAAACTCAATGCGGAACACCATAAAGAAAGACTCTCTTTTTTGACTTTATCTGAAAGAATACGCTTGTAATTTAACGATCGTGTCGTTTTTTTAGTAAAAGTAACTTAGAGATCGACGTTTTTAACTTGCCGAGTGAAACTAAAACCCCTATTTAGTAACAAAAAGAAATTCTTTCATAAATAAATGGAACGTGGTAATTTTTGGATGATTGTATATTTCAAATTTAAGAAAAAAATGGGAAAAAGTAACTTATAGTTGGAACGGGATCAATAAAAAAATTAATTCTTAGATTATTTTGGTAGATTAATTTTAGGTATTTGTCTATTTCAGGATTTTCAGGCCTCTTACTTACAAAACAATATGTATACAGATATATATATATTTTAAAAGTTATTAATGGATTGGTTTTAGTTTTAGGTTGAATTTGTTTAAATAGATTATTTTTCTTTGTAAAAGGTATGAAAAGAAAATATACGCCTATAGAGAGTAAAGTTGTTTGATTTATTTTATTTTATTCTTAATTTCTTGTAATAATAAGCTTTTTCCTATTGTTCTTAACGTTATACACTTTCGGTTGATTGTCATGTAACAAGAATAATATCTTATTTTTGATATATCTCATTTTTATTAATAAAAATTTATAGCGTTTCTATTAAAAGTTTCTTCTTAAATATTTAAAAATTAGTTACCTTATGTAACTTTCTTATGTTAGTAGAAGTAAATTCTTAGCGATCTCTTTTACTCTACTTAAATAACATATTTTCTTTATTAAATAATTTTAGCAATAAAAGTTATTTATTTAAGCGTAACCTAATATAGGTTAGCAATATCACAAAAAAGCGAATTATTCTTTGTTTTTGAATGTATACGTTGTCTTTAATTTTAAATCGATTAGATAATTTTTATTTATTTTATTATAAATATATTCATTTATCACCCCTATTTGATGAAGTAGGAATAGAGAATGTTTCAAAGTTTCCTGCCAAACTCATACAGTTAACAATTCTAATTCAATTTTCTAATTAAGTTGAGAATTAAAAGCATAGCACTTTAGAAACATCCTGTATTTCTATTAAACTTTTACGTTTATAGAAAAATATTATTCTCATTTCTAATCAGGCGATTTACAATTATACTTTTTTTCAAAAAAACATCTACATGGCAGTAGCATGATGATATTTTTTTTATAATTTTTTTTTAAACATTTTTTTAATTTCACGTACTGTTTACATTTTTATACGACGTTAATCCTTTCGACACTAAAAACCTATTACCATAACCAGCTCCCCATGGAGCCAAAAGTAATCCTCACGTCCTCACAAACTTGTAAACGACCGCAAAAACCAATACACTAACCAACACCAACACTAAAGCCGTTACCACTTTAGCGAACGTGTTTAAACCGCTTTCAGACGGATTCAAAGGTCTGCTACTATTATTTTGTTGAGATCTACTCCGTTTATTTGCTAATCCTCTGGCCAATGCGGGAAAAGCTAAACTTTGAGTGAACGTTAATTTATGCAGACTTTCACTTAATGAATAAGGTCCTACACTCCCTCTAGCAGCAGCTCTTAAGAGGGCGTATTCTAAATCTAACGCGTCGAAAAGTGAATATCTTACAGTTACGCTCGACGAACGTCTTCTACTATCAGAAGGATCTGATCTTGACGATCTAGACCCCGTTGGAGGAGCTGCTATTGAAGTTAATGAAGATGTTGTACTGGATGAAGGTGAACCATGACCATTATCGGAGACATCTTCGATTGAAGTTTGATCCGGTGATGGGATGGGTTGAGATGGTCGGAAAATTCTTGCATGATCTGGATGGAGAAGGGCACTGCTTGGTCTTCGAACGCTTGTTGTTGGAGAGGACGTTATGGGAGATGGGGCACGTGGATAAGTTGTACAAGGTGAAGGTGAAACCTATTAAAAGAAATAAAATCACGTTACGAATGCATTTTATTTTTTTTATTTAATTGTTTACCTGACTAGATTCGATTCCGGAATCGCTGTGATGCGTTCGAAGGCCATTTTCACAACAAATTGAATGTTGAGATAATGCATCATCTGCACAAGGTGGAAAAACAAAGCTTTGGCCGTCTGCTTCACCTCGCGGAGAATCGGAACTAGGCCAAACCTAAAAAATAATTTAATTGATATTTTTTACGTAATTAAATGATTTTTTTAACCTGAAGAAGTGGTAAGGAACAATTTGATAGAGGTTTTGCTTCTTCCACAGATGATTCGGTGGTGTCTTGGTCGCATTGAGAACTTGAACTGTTCGTGGTTGAAGATTTCACAGCCGACCAGAAACGTTTTAAACCGGATTCCCGAAGTGATTTCTGAAACAAAAAAAAGATATTTAAATTTTTTTTGGTCAAAAATAAGTTATAATAAAGATAAAGAAAATAAAAAGTAAGGTATGAAGTTTCTATTTACAGCCTTTTAGCAAGCTGTGCGATAACCCGCTTTGTAAGCTTCCCGGAGCCACCTGGTGCTGTTCACTATCACATTACGTGTACTACCTTGTTATAGAATAAAGAAGTTTATATTCTTTAGATAGACGTTATTTTTAGAACATTTTGACATAATTGAGACAGGAAGTATCATATTAAGTAGAATACCCGTTGGGGAAATGTAATATTTTGTGTTCATTTTCAATTTAAAAAAGTATTTAATGCAATTAAATTGTTTAAAATTGGTAAAAATAAAATTCATTAAATAAATACGAATTTATTATTAACTCATACTTTCAAAATACAAAATAAGAATATAACTTGGACAGAAAATATATGCTTTGTTGAGAATTAATTGAATTGAAATGCATTATAATAGGATATATGAGAACAGTAAGAACAAAATTCTTGGCAACCATATAATATTACTTTTAGGGTAATAGTTGAATATCAAACTGCGAGTGGAAACAACTTAAAAGCTTCTGGATCGTTGCGGTAATTCCCAATGGAATTCTTGATGCAATCGAACATTTGAAATACTGTAGAAGTATTGGATGCAAAGTTTCCGTTGAAAGTGTTAAGTTGAGATGGATGTATATGCAGTCTTTGTGGAGGGTTGAATTGATCGATTCGAATGTACATTTTCTGAATTTTTCAAAATTACAAAGATGAGCGACCCACCCAAAATAATTTCAATAGATCTAGGTTCTTACATATACGATGAATGGGTGAGAAGGAAAATAAGATTTCAAAGTATACGCCATTTTAAAATGAAATAGCCATCTTTGAGCGCATGAACGATAATATTCTGCTATATCAAGCTTAAGCGGATATTTAAAATATTGTTGAGTGGAAGAACAATAATATTCCGTAAATGTGATCCTCCATCCACTGGTGAGTCGATGTACTGAATGGGTTGCCGAAAAGGAATGTTCGCATTGAGTAGTGCATATGGGACAATGTAAACAATACGATACTATTTCAGCAACAGGTGATATAATTCGTAGTCTTTTGTGGTATTTTGCTGATTTGGGTCATCATTTTGTAATCAGGTAAGATGTATAGAGGTTCAATAAACTAAAAAGGAAGAGGCATGTATTGAATAAGGCGAATTTGTAAAACGCAAAGCTAACAAGGGTTTTCTTATATGGTTTTTATATAATACCATTAAAGTAATTCAAGAGAAAAGGAAGGCGTACTGTAAATGGAAACGCTTTGGAATGTAAAGAATATTTTTTATTTTAAAAAAGGAAACTGAAAACAATTAACATTTGTTGCAAATATAGTTGCACCTTCTTAACGTAGGTACAATCAGCGTGTGTCTCCAGCATAATTCATTGTTTCTTCCAAAATCTTGACATATCCTTCACGTTTCATCTTCATTGGAAATCTTCTTTTGTTGACCTAGACACCGCATAACTCTCTTCGCGGGCTTTTTCTTCATTTTCCTTGTTTTTTCCTTCTTTTCAAGTTCTTCTTTGACTGGCGTTGATGTCAGTATAACTGAAGAATGTTTCATTGTACTAGTGTTCACTGTCGGGAATAGTAAAAGATCTATAAAACTTACGTTGTCTTTCTTGGATTGCACAGTCTTGTCATCTCATCCTCTAAAACTTCTTCTGAATCTAAATCTGAGGAAGATTCTCAGTCTGTCGACTTTCGAAGGCGTTTAGGTTTAGAAAGAAACTCTTGTGAATTTAGTTCAGAAGTGGATGGCTCAAGGATAGAAGAAGGTGATCTGTCCAAATTTTTGTGTGGCTGAACATTATTATTGCTTTATGTGTCTGCAACCGATGTAGGATGTGTCGTACAAAATGAAATTTCTATGGCTGGGATATCAGTAAATTCATCATCACTAAATACAAAACGATTGAAAGAGAATATTCCGGTCACTTGGAAAGCCTTTACTCTTTTCTCCACCGTTGCTACTCTATTATTAGTATTCCTGTATAATTCTGCGATGTTGGTTTGTGTGGCGAACATCTGGACGCCAGAGAATTTCCCAAACCTTTCAAAAAAAAAACTCTCTCCGGCCATCTGGGCAAGGTACCCTTTTGGTCCAGGCAAAGGGTTCCCGGAAAGCTTTCACCGGAGATGTTACTGGACGCTCCTCGTGGCGAACATCTGGACGCCAGAAAGCTATCGAAACTATTCAGAAGAACTCTCTGCGGCCATCTGGGCCGCAGATCCTTTTGGTGCAGACAAGGACTCCCAAAAAACTTTCACCGGGGATGTTACTAGATTCGGAGATAAAAGGAACAAGGATCGGCTCGAAGAGATCAGTACCGTCTTACCGTTCGCGTTGTAGTTTTGATCGGCAACCCTTTTCGACACGCCTCTGCACTTTTGTTATTATTGTTTTCCTTATTGTAAATAAAATTTTGTTGTTGAAGACATTTGGTTTTCCTCTTGCTACTATCAAAGCATTAGCCCCGCAGTTTGCAAGATTTTTTTGTGTTGCTTGGCTTTTATATACCTATCACATTCTTCAACCTTTAGTGGGCCAAAAGAGAAAAACGTCTAGTGAGCTCCAAATTTATGTTAGCTGTAAAGTTTATCCAAATTGTCGTAAAAAATAGTCTCCTCTTTTTTGTTGAAAGCTAAGATGCGGTTTAGACTGGTAGCCTTAGGTTTACGAAAGGTTAAAGTTGGATTCCAGAGTTCCCGGATTAATTTAGCAGTTAATCCATAAAATACTTTAGAAAGATTAATAATGTGACTTGCTAGCTCTGACTCATGTTCTACACTAAAAACTGGTTTTCTTTCTAGCTTGTACTTTTTTACAGAAAAACGACCTCTTAAGCGATCTTGCAAGATTCCGTAAAGCACATCAAGCATTTGCGCAGATTTTCGTATTGATAAGGTTTTGTTTTTGACAAATTCTATGACGCGTTGCATGTTGTCTTCCGACTATGCAGAACGTTTGCTTTTCCGAATAAATTTTAAACTTGTCATCTGTAGAAAGGGAATGCCATTATTATAATATCGATCACAGTAGAGAAATATCGACCGCTCTAGTTTATAGCTGTTGGTCATAGATTTTTTTTCTTTGGATTTTGTTGATCCTTCTTCAATCCAGCAATGTAGACTGTGGTAGTGGGGGGATCCAGTTTCCTTTGAGTCAGATGCAATTCGACTGGATTGAAAATGAGGAGATCCTGATAAGTATCAGGTTTCCATCAATTTTAATCAAAGAATGTTCATACTCTCTGGCCTTTCTTTTAACCATTTTATTGAATACCTCATTGATAACACAGCTCTAAAACAAAACAAATTTTTTTTGTTGCCCTGATATCTTTGCAAATTTTTATGTTTTCAAGTGCCCAGATTACGAATATATTCATTAAAGTACTGAATGTGCTCTTTTGTTTTTTATGATTTTTACATATCTTATATTTTGAACAATTATCGGCTTGTTAGTAATAAAATTTATTTTTCTCGTCATGATTAGGCTTCTGCGTAACTTTTTCACGCATACAAACATCACGTGATCTCCACTCTCAGACCCCTTGCTCCGCAGAACAGCTGAGATCTCAGTTATTTGACAATATTGAAGTACTTACACGTGAATCTGTATAAGTTGTCATGGGTTAATATTTTGTTTCAATTACTGAATGTCCATTCTAATATATTTGTCTTGTCTTTTAAAACATGAGTTCGTCACGAAGAAAGTGTAAATATAGTAGTGATTTATTTTGTTATATAACAAAAAAGAAATATTACAGACTTTACCGACGAGACATATGTTGAATATTTCGGTTTTAAATTGGACAAATTAGATAAATCATGGGTTCCTCATAATGTTTGTAAGTCCTGTGTTGAATCTTTACGGTTGTGGAAAAAAGGAGAACGTGCTGGATTAGACTTTGGTATTCCTATGATCTAGATGGAGCCTAACAATCATTTCGATGATTGTTACTTAGATGCTAAAGGTTTTAATCTAAATCAAACGTGGAGATATCCAGGCTTACAGACTACAAAATGTCCTGTTCTACACAGTGAAAATCTCCCTCGGCCTATTTACGTTTCAAAAGTAATTCGCATGCCCTCGGAAACAATGATGTTGCCAAATTCACAAAAATCGGGACACTCTACCAGTGAAAATGAATGGGAGGGTGAAACATCTACGTCGAAGTTATTTTCTCAAAATGATTCAGTGATTTAATACGTGATCTCAATTTATCAAAACAAGGATCAGAACTGTTAGCCTCAAGATTGACAGAAAAAAATGTATTGGCTCCAACAGTAACAATTACAGCATACAGAACGCGAGAAAGTGAGTTATTACAATTTTTTAGTGAAAATGAAGGACTGGTGTACTGTAATGATATCGCGAAGCTGCTTCTAGACATTGATTTAAAAGAATACAAACCTACTGAGTGGCGCCTCTTTATTGACAGTTGTAAAAGAAGTTTAAAATACGTCTTACTGCACAATGGAAATAAATTTGCATCAATTCCAATTGCCACATTGAAAGAAGAATATGAAAATGTAAAATTAATTTTAGAAAAAATTAATTACTCGGGGCATCAATGGCCGATCTGTGTGCATTTGAAAAGGGTTAATTTTTTACTTGGTCAACAAAGTGGATACACGAAATACCCTTGCTTCATTTGTATGTGAGACATTAGAGCAAAGCAACTTCATTGGGAACAAGTTGTTTGGCCCGTAAGAAATTCTTTAACTGTCGGTAAAGCCAATGTAATAAGGGAGCCGTTGGTGAGCAGAGACAAAATCATACTTCCACCATTACATATTAAGTTAGGAATGATAAAGCAATTTGTAAAAGCGTTGGACAAGGAAGGAGATTGTTTTAATTACATTTGTAGAAAATTTCTGAAGATTAGTATGGAAAAGTTGAGAGGTGGAATATTTGATGGTTCTCA